ATTCACTCCATACACGGTGTTGAATGGTGAAAACTACTACTTATCGTTGTTGGAGTTGAGTCCAATGAGGCAGGTGTCGTCCGTGAACTTGATCAGCTTCACGGAGTCGTGGCTGGAGGTTCAGCGGTTGGTGTACAGGGAGAAGAGCAGGGGAGGGAGAACACAGCCCTGTGGAGCTCATGTATTTAAAATCTGAAAGTCCAAGACATTCTTCCCCGGATGCACACGCTGCTTCCTGTTCGTCAGGAAGTCAGTGATCCAGCTGCAGGTGGAATCAGGCACGTTGAGCTGGGAGGGCTTGTCCTGGAGCAGGGATGGCAGGATCGAGTTGAAAGCAGAGCTGCAGTCTGGAATACAGTAGGCCCCCAAGGATGCAACCACAGCTTATAGCACATTCCAGCCTTGGAGTCTCCCATCAAAGTACTTACCAGATTCTGTCCTGCTTGTAGTAGTCTAGTTATGTTCTGGTGGGAGATCATATGATGAGGAGCGTACGTTTCGCCCTTTCCACAGTTTATTTCCAGAACTATTAAGCTTCCTACCCTGTGTGTACACAAAGTTCATCAATGTACCTGTATATTCTCTTGACCATGTATGTGTTGTTGTAAGCCAGCACAACAAGCAACGATTCTTTTCCTTTGTAGGATGAGACCTCTTAATTGCTTGGACATTTACACTTAGCTGCTTGCCTGCTCTTGTCTGTGCCTGCTACCCTGGCCAACGATAGCCAGCATCAGATTAATTATGCCAAAGGAGGAGACATCACTTCACAAATTGTAATTACCAAGAGTGGGAAGGTGAAAGGGATCAAAGCCTCACAGTTTTTGACATTAAACTGGTAGGATTTACATTACAACAAATATAGTAATACTGATAAAAATATGATTATGTTTTGAAGAAAGAAAAGTAGTAACAATCCAGCTTCACGTCTTACATAAGAAGGTCGCTCGCACTTTCACCCATCAAATATTCAACCATGAGTCGAGGCGTCTAAGGCTGCAGACGCTGCCTCATTTTCTCCAAGCTTCCGAGTTAACTCTTTGCTTTTTGAGGAAAGAAATAAGACGTTGAAGGTTTTGAAGTTTTCAAAGTACTAAAAAGTACTGATGAGGGAGAGATATTCCAGTCCAGTGCTCAGGGAAAATCAATGCATTCTCAATTATACATAAGTATTATACAACTACTGGGTAGTTTCACTCAGAGTTATATGTGAAGTGTGTTAAGCTTAAATATTTAGAAAGACAAAAATCTTTAATGCTAAATCCCTAAGTGTTATTAATATATAATTTTGTACTAAAAGGAATAATCTTGTGCAATGCATTTGGCTATTTCAAATCCCCTTGGCAACATGGAATATACTTTTTTTAAGTTGAGAAGTACAGTTTTATAAGTTTGAAAACGGGTTTATTCTGATTCATTCTTCAGAGCTGCAAATGCACTCATTGCAGAATCTTGGACTAGACCTTCAAGGAGATTTTCAAAGCTTAAATAATTCATTTTCAAACCACAAAAATAGATGTATAGTTAGCCAAACTTTTTGGTACAAGGTAGTTTTTAAAGTATGTATTTTAGGGCCTTTTAGGGCCTTGTTAGATAAAAAAAAAAAAAAAAAAAAAAAACTTAATATAGCAAACCACTCATTCCACTCTCAGTCAGATAATAAGTCCGAGAACTCTTACTTACAAGTACACACAAGAAAAAAGTTCTAACTTGAGAAAACAACAGGATCAGATTGACACATCTACTTATGGATAACCTTGTTGATAGAAGAGTGATTTGACTCAAAAGACCAGTCCACATGATATGCAAAATATTCAAATTTTCCAAGGATAATTGTTTCTAAATCTAATCATTCTAAACACTCATTCGCTGTTACCACGAAGCATCAGTCCCGTGTTCATCACTTTAATAAAATCAAACAGTGCCTCTACATCAGTTGATCCAATAACTCATAACATCACTGAGAAAGGCCTTTGAGAAATCTCCAGTGTGGATGTAATGTTGGATTGTGTCGTGTTTGTGACGAATTTCCGACTTGCATCTTCACCTTCTACATTACAGTATCATCTATGACTATCTTTGTTTTCAGCTCACATGAAAGTGAATTCTATTGACACATAGGTGGACATTTGCTTGAAGCTAAACATAAAGCCCTCCTTAGAAATGCCCCACTGTCATATTGTATATCCTCATTAAATATTCAATACGTCACACACATTACATGTCTCTGGGGAAAACTTTTTCACTGTTTGGTTGTGCAGATCTCTAAAACATGTATGCCTAAAGCAAAAGAAACACAGGATACAACCGCGTAATTAAAGTTTTCCTTAAACCGCTTTTATGGCTTTCAACTCACTGATATTATACTGTTGCATGAAATAATTAAATAATTGTTTTCCAAGCTGTATTGTGATGATTTTTCCTAACTTAACCTGCCCTGGGTCTACTTTTAATCACTGTGGTGGATCATTTTGACCTGAGGGTAGCACAAGGGTTTTAGAAGCAGTAGGCAACTTTTCAAATGTGGTCAACAACCTTCTTGTTGCCATGGAGATATTACTGCTTTTCTAGAAATGTGCATTAATATTCACAATACTTAAGAAGAATAGAAGGTCTTGTAGCATCACCTCTACACATATAGGATTTGATTCCTTTTTTATGCAAAAGATATTTCTAGTATAAAAGATAAAAGGCAACATTTGGGTTTTACAAGAAATTATCTGCTGGGACTAAAGAGCATTTCAATTCACTATTGTTCTTTTGGAACTGTGCTTGCTTCATTAAAGATAGAGAAAAAAGCTTCACTTTGTTGTTGTGTAACAGCGGGCAGAGCCAGGTTGTAAACATGTTTCCAGTGCGTTAGCAGCAGTCACTAGCTGCGTGGCCCTTGTTTGGCCTGCCTCTCCAGCTGTCCTGCTCCAGCGCTGACTAAGGCCCCCTCTTATGTGCCACCCGCTTCGACTTCTCCTCAAAAATCAAGAGCCCCGAAACTCAGAGCCGAAAATAGAAACCCCAACCTCATTTCATGCCTCGCAAAGCTCTAAATTTGCACCAGAGGGGACGCAACATTTGTGATAGATAATGTGAGTAAATTAGGAAAAGGAACAAAGTCTGCGTTAGTTTGGAAGTGTTTCTCGCTCCTCTATGGAACCTGTCAAAAGCTAATGGGACAATTTACAGACAAAGGTACGCAGTCATTTGAGAATGAAAAAAAAAAAAAAAACATCTATGAATGTATCACAGTCCTTAACCTAAACTTCAACTTTATATTCCTCAGACAGGCTGCATAATTTTAGTTTATCTTATGCATGCTCATTACTTAACCATTATGCATGTCAACCCTGCAGCTTCGATTACAGGATTAAAACCGTTTTTTCACCATTGACTTGAGTAACTTGAGAGGAGCTTTTTATGCATTAAAGTTATACATTTCAAATGATGCAGCATCAATGTTGCATGTATTGGGTTTAAAGTACGTTCCAATAGCCGTTCATGCCGACTGCGGTTGAATTTTTAAGGTCATGTTGGAGGATATTGTGTCTCTACTTCTGCAGTATTGACAGATGATTGTGTAAACTGCACTGCACAATAATATGAAAGTCAGCTATAACGCCTACAAACTGCGACACCAGCGCAACTCTATGACCAACAACAAAAATGAATCCACAGCATCAGATTTAGAAAGAAATAAAGGCTGAATATTGATGAGCATTACACTGTTAAAAGATAAAAACGAAAGTACAAATATACAGACAAAATTTTAAATTCAATAAAATCCAATTGATTTTTGTTTAGCCCTATTACAACAACAGTTGTATCGGATGACTTTTCAAGGTTGTCAATTCACAAACAACCGATCAGCGAATCAAAGTTTGAACGCAGAAAATGCAATAATAACAAAGACATACATAGTGGTCCATAGGGAGATGACCAATGTCCATAAATGTACAAAAATGTTCCAGATGATTACTGTCTTTAGACCCCCCTGGATCTGCAAAGCAAAAACCCAGTGGGAAACATTTATTACCTCTGAGAGACCCGTATTGAGAAAGGGAATCAGCACCCACGAACGAATAACTGCAGATCAGTTCATTTTCCTGCTTGAAAGGACAGGTAGGTGATCATTGTTGCTACTCTAACACGGGGTAAATGCAAAATAAGCCATGGCACATTTCTAGTTCTCATAATTTCATGTGCAGGTCTAATTTTCATCCGAGTCCATACCATATATATTTCACAATTCAATGATTGATTTTTATTCAAGCTTTAAACATTGAATACCATAGATTTAAATAATCTTAATGCTATACAACTCTGTGAATTACTTTATTGACACCAGGAGTCCAACTACGCTTATGGTCGCAATTTCTCCTCACAGTTGTGCACAATAAAACAGAGAATTCCCTGAGCTAATTGGAGGAGGTTTTTAGGTAAATGAAACAAACAGGCTATTCTCCACACTATGCTGACAAGTGCGCAGCCACCCACCTGGTTGAAATTACTACCTTAATCAGTCATCATTCTCATGAGCTTCTCTGCAGCTCATGAGAAGAAGAGAAGTGGGTGTGTAAACCCACTTCTCTTGTTAGTCAAGCTCCGGGAGACTGCAGGTGGATTTAACCAATCACAGTGAAGAGTTAACGCTGAAGAAGCTCTGTCTTATTAGGAACAAATAATACAGTATGCCCCAATTATAATAAAACCCTGTCACTTGTCTCTTTAATGTTGTCCTAGCGTGTTACTGCGGATGATGAAATCAGACTGATTCCTGAACAGTAATGTGTCCTAATGATGACCACGAGAGGAAACAGAAAGATCTCTGGTGCAAGAGTCAAACTCATCATGAAATACTGCATTATTACAGTTCATCATAACATCCTCACTTGCTCCACACAATGACAGTAAAGTACCCTTTTAATTATATAAGTAAAATATATCTATAGCACAGTTTAGTTTCTGTAGTCTATTTGGATGAAGGGGTTTGAAGCTGCTTCTCCATGTCAACAGGCGCCAGTAGAGGTGGCTCGGGCATCTGTTTCGGCTACATCCTGGGGAGGACACATTAAGTCGCCTGGTCCCCTGAAGGAGCTGGACAGGGAGGGTCCCTCCTCTTTGAGGACTGGAAAAAGGGGACAGAAATAATTCGATGGGTTTAAGAAATTTTCCCACTGTGGGACAAATGAAGGATCTCTTAATCTATTACACAATTTAGATAAAGTATACCTCATTTTGTATATGAATTCTTCTGCCACCTTAAAAATTATTGTATACAAACAAAATACTATTTATGTTCAAAGAGTGACTATTTTACTTATTAATGTGTAGCCGAAATATGAAGCGTAAGCGTAACTTCAGACTGGTAGACTAGCCATGCACTACATCAGGCTAGCCCCTTTATGCCTCAGCCTGAGTCAACTCCCCTGCCAGCCGTGCCTATCATCAAGCCAGCGCTTAAAAGCAGGAGACCACACCGAAAACAGCCTTTCAATCCGCAACCTCCTCCCCGCCTTTGGCACGCTCACATCCACCTTGCCCTGTTGCCACCACCAGTGCTTAAGCCCCGGGGATCATAATCTACATTCAAGCATCGATCCCCACAGAGCAAGGCCAAAGCTGAGGCCTATGAGCCAAACTAACAAACTACAAACAAACTTGCAATCAATACATTTTTAAAGCATTTTGTCTCTCTTGTAGTCTCTTCCGATTAAATAACCTCTATAGACTTTCTGTGAGGATTCCTGCACTACACACATCTTTCCAGGCATATATTAGTAAATACATGCATTAGATATTCCTCACGACAGAAGCAGCCGATGCCTTAGGATGCTCCCGATGCCCCCCACACACCAACACCAGTCATGCTACCCTCTGCTTCAGCACAAGCAGATCCTGCTGTAGCCTCAAGCCCAAACCCTTCTGTCTGTGCCTGTGAATTGTTATGAGAGAGTACAGTTGTTGGCTGGTCTTTTGTTTGTGATTTTGTCTTTAGTTAAAACAACAATAATTTGTTGTTATGCCAAACTGTGCCTGACATCATTAATTTTGAAAGACATGACTTTACACTATAGCTTCATGAATTTTGAAGTATAGCCTAGAAGCTGTTTAATATTGCAAAGACTCATTTGATATTTACTAAATGAAATTTGAGTTCACTGCTAGGTTCTCAAGCGATCAAAAGCAAAAACCTAATCAATGTGGCACAGCAATTTCAATGTTTAAAGTTATAATAACAATGCAATTGGATTAATTCAGATTTTGATATGACCATGTGGTACATACTGTATGTGTAGGTTAGAAGCCAGCTCGACTCAAGCATTGAAGCTTAGGCGTGGTACAGAGACTGCATTTGCTTACCAGAAGGTCTCATGGATTGGCTATTTGTATCAATATTTTTTTATTATTATTTTTTTTTAATTGTTACATAGAACCTTGTAGTGTTGAGGCAAAGAGCGATTCGATTGATTGTGTGATGTTTTTCCAAATTGTTTTAGCCTCTCCTACAATAATTAACCACATACGAATCTCCTCTTTCTTCTCTACATTCATACATAGAAATATATTAAATATTATACTAATCATTACTATCTTATTATTATTGGTAGCGGAGATGAGCATTCAGCAGCTCCGCCTGCGCAAGTGTGATGAAGATGTTATTAATTAATGTTTTATTATTTATGTATCTGTTATTGTTTTTCATTTAGGATTATTTTCATTATTGTCATTATTATCATTATTATTAATATTATTATTTTCACTTATGTATCTGGGAGCACTTTTTATTTTATATTTTATTATATGTATATGTATGTGTGTGTATGTGTATATGATTTATGTGTATGTGTATGTGCATGTATGATGTATATATATGTGTATATATATACACCATATATATACAGTAGGTGTGTGTGTGTGTGTGTGTACAAATATGTATGTAGGTATGTGTGTATATGTATATATATATATATGTGTGTGTGTGTGTGTGTGTGTGTGTATATGTATGTGTATGTATGTATATATGTACATATGCATTTATATATGTATATATATATGTTTTCTTTTCCCCAAACTGGACATGTTTGATAGACTGTATGTGGTGGTGGTGGACCCCTAATGTATAAGCTTCTGCTTCTGGGAGTTCCATTTTCACAATGTAGCACATGTACTTTTAGGGACTGTGTGAATTGTGAATAAACTAAACTAAACATAAACACTCAAATTCACAATGGGTATGACTCAGAATGAGCCTGACCCCGAGCCTATAAATAATGACCTCATAATCACAGCCCTTTCATGGGAGACTTACTCTTATAGCTGCCACTCCAGGGCTGGTATCCATAGTAGCCCGTAATGCGCAGGATCCTCTCCTCTATGGACGCACTGTTGATGTCTTCCACTGAACGCGAAGACTTGAGGTCCTCTTTGATGGCCTCGTCCACCACCAAGTATTTGAGCTGTCTGAGCTGAGGGCTGATGTCTGAGAGCCTTCTCGGGCTCACGTCGGGTGACCTGCGCATCCCACTGCCAAAACAAGAAGTAAACAGAAACCCAGTCTGTAGAAATAAGTAAGTTAATAAGCAGGGCCTCAATGTTCTGTACCACACCACCCTTCAGTGGCCCTGCTTGCGCACAACGGAGAGAAGACGCTAAACGAATGTGACTGTGCCTACAACTGTTCTGTGCGCAAAGCAATTCAGAATACAGGCTCAAAGGAATCTGGATCTAATGAATAGATCAAACAGGATTCGCGCCTTAAGATGTGAGGTTTGTGACAGTCTTGCGCACAGCTCTCCACACATGCATACTTTGTGTTATATTAAAATCCCCAGGTCTGAAATGACACGTGCTGATGACACCATGACCACATTATCGTGGATCCAGGCAGCTTTAATTCAGTCCAAGTTTACTGCAGCATCGAGGCGAGTCCTCAAACATATCTTGTAATTAAAGTTTCAAATCAAACAGTTCAATCTTTATTCAACTGAGGTAACATAGTTTCTTTACCAATCTGTAAGATATTTAAAGACAATAAAATAACCAACTGTCAGAATGCCAAGCAGGTCATGTGTAACTCCCGCCCCCATGATGTAAATAGCTACATTTTCACTCACATAGGCATCAAAGTGGGGGGTCCGAGATAACACATACAGTCCCGGTGGGGTCTTGCCACCCGGTCCCACACTTTGCCCTCTCCCTCGCCGAACATCCTTGAAAGGCCACGGAAGTTTAGTTTAATCCCTCATCCGGAGACAAGAGGCATGGTCCTACTCCTGCCGCTCCCTCTGACATCTGGCCGCTACTCTGAGCTCTGCTGCTGCTGAACACTTTGGGGCGCGGGCTCTTTTCATGGCTCTATAATAATAACGGCTCTTCTGTTGCAACAGCGCCATCTGCTGGGCATACATGGGCTAACGGATCAGGAGCGAGATAAAAAAAACAAACAAAAAACAAATATCACGAAGAAGAAATGTAGTTCCTCTATTCCCACAGTTAACATAGATAACCCTTTAGCACCATGGATGTTTAGCACTTCACAACAAACTGCATCTCAACCATTTTGTAGAGGCCCATAATTTAAAAACTAGGAGGTAAAAAAAAAACTTAAATAATTATAAAATAATTATTTTTGTTATTGTGGCTTCTATTTTAGACAAAGAAAAATACACGCTTTCTTAAAGGAGTGTACATTAAGGTATTATTTATCGTATATGCGCTGTTATAGTTTTTGTATGTGTATCTTGGCAATGGGTTCATTACTCCTCACAATAAACTTCTGTTGTCTAAAAGTGTATTTAGCCTATTCAAAATTCAAAGCTTACTGCATGTTGCTTCATAAAGACAATGTAATGGTAAGTACTCACTCTCTCTCCCTCTCTCTGTGTGTCTCTCTCTCTCTATCTCTCTTTCTCTCTCTCTCTTTCTCTCTCTCTCTCTCTCTCTCCCTCTCTCACTCTCTTTCTCTCGTTCTCTCTCTCTCTCTTTGTATTTTTGTGTGGGTTTTGTTTACATTATTTCAATAGCTGCCTCTAATAACAAATGCTACCATTACAGCTATTATTGTGTGGTCATTCTGATCATTGGTTATATTGCCTAGTGATATTGTAAATCAACAAGCAGATGTTCTGGATTTTGAAAGAAGAACCCATGATTTATAAAAAAAACATTTCAACATTTTATGTTGGAAGTGGTATAACTTCAACACTTTTCCTTCTGATACTCACACTCAATTTTGCTGTAAAATCACTGACTCTTTGAAATCTGAAAATGGGCCAATGGGAGTTGTTACTGGTGTACAGTAGCAGCTGTAGCACTAGCTGGCGTATCCAACTTTTTTTCTCATACATTATACATTTTTTTGTCCCAGCAGGGTCTTCATTGATGTTCAAACACATCTTATCGTTTGCAGACTTTATAAGACAGAGCCTTGTAAGTCACTAAAGACACTTTAAATGCTCATTGGATGAATGATGGTGGTTCTCTAATCAGCTGATCTAAACATGTTACAGAGTCCAAAAACACATGAGAAAAATAGTGATATTTAGTTTGTCCTGGTTTGAAAGTCAGGAACTCCAGCTGTAAGCTTATATTCAATGTCTTGAATGGCTCTAGGTTGTAAACACATGATAATTTGAGCCTTTTTAGAAAATCTGTCACTACTAAAAACAAATGTTTCGCTTACCTAGAGTAGCGCTCATAGAATGCATGATTCCCATCTCTTGGATCCACTTGCTGCATTGCGTCTTCATTCTGTGGACTCCTGACTGAACCTGCCCGCCAGGCACTGACTGCTTTTTGAAGACAGGGGCTGCATTGATTAGTGATTTTACAGACCCACGCTGCCTCACAGCCCTCTCCACAATGAACTGGGGACCTGTGCTTATTCCAGCAATAAAGTAGCCTCATCAATAGTCGGGTCAACACCTCTCATCGACAGTCTTTGGGAACAGAGGATCAGGTTTATCTTGTGTAAAGCACTTCTGAACTGTACTGCTCATTGAGACAGGAAACCCCAGTGCACACTGAGGCCATCACTGCGCTGGCCTTAATCTCAATAGATCAATCAAATCAATCAAATTTTTATTTGTATAGCGCCCAACAACAGCCAGAAGGTGCCCAGGGCGCTTTCCAGGATAAAAACAAGAATCACAATAGACACCGATAAAAACAAACACATAAAAAAGAACAGCAGTCGAGTCAGTGATTATGCATTGAATGCTTTCCTGAAAAGATGTGTCTTCAACTGTGATTTAAAAACACTCAACTCAGTGATGTTTCGAAGCTGTACAGGAAGTGCGTTCCACAGCTTTGGGCCTTGGGCAGCAAATGAATAGATAAGGCAACTCATGTAATGGTTCCATCTTGCCCTCAGAGGACCTCTATATAAGCAAAGTAATTACAAATCTATCTTCAGTGTACATATGCTGAGCGAGTATGCAGAACTAGTGAAGAAAGATGCTTTGTAACAACTGATTATGACATTATTGTATCTTTTTTTTCAATGATTGATCTTCTCTGACAAGATCAATCATGCATGTATGCGGTCTAAAGCATGTGAACCCCTGTCCCGAGACAACTTTCTCCTATGAGACAATAAAGGAGTATCTTATCTTATCTTATCTTATTCATTGCTTTGCATATTTTTGAGAAATATGTTTTTGAGATACCGTAATTGAAAGTAGACTAGTGGAAGCTTTGCACAGAAAAGCCTATACTCAACTGAACTGTGAGAAGGATGGAGATTATTCCTCTTAAGTGTAATGACGCTTTGAAGAGAAAAATCCTCAATAAGCAATGTTTTGTCAGATGTGACAGATATTGCTTCAAGCCAGAACTGAGAGATCCAAGCGAAAGTTTTTTAGGCTATTAAATATTAACAAAAGGTAACGTGAAGAAGAAGCTTTGTACTGTGTGTCACGCAGTTATTGTTCACTCTACTGCCTGCTAAAAGAGAAAGAATAAGGTATAATGTATTATTTAAAATGTTCTTAATGTGATTGTAGTCTTCACATAGTTGGCAGTTTACGTTGAAGTGGTTGTATTGCTACCTATTCTGCTCGTCCCCCTGTGCCCAGTTTCATACAGTTCACAAAAATGATGTAAATCCGCTTCTCTCAACATCAATTTTTAACTCTGTGCTCAGCTTGGAAACAGTGCGACAGGTAGCTGCTGATTGGACACCACAGAGGCCCAACCCAGAGCCAGTTAGAGGACAGTGGCACTGTCAGGGGATGGTAACATATTTGTGTTATTTATAATTTGCAGAATACGGAACTTAAGTTTTTGTCACAAAGATGAGCCTCATATGGACAAGATTGTTTGAACATGTGTGTGCAAAGGATTTGATTGTGCGGTACACATTTCTCCAAGTCATTCCAGGGCAGTTGTGGTTTGGTAATGAGAGTTCTAAGTTACTGTTGTGGCTTGACTGGATTCAGTTGTCATACATTGCTATCATAAAGACACTCATGTACACACATTGAAGACGGCCTCCTGTCCTCAAACATCACTCCCTCCGCCCGTAACCTCGGTGTCATTTTTGATTCTCAACTCACCTTCCACTCCCACATCAAAAAAACCACCCAATCCTGCTTCTTTCACCTCCGCACCATCTCAAAGATTAAACATTTTTTCACTCCTCCCGATCTCCATAAAGTCGTCAACGCCCTCATCTTCTCCCGCCTCGATTACTGCAACTCCCTCCTCTCCGGTCTCGACGCTAAATCCCTCTCCCGCCTCCAACTGGTTCAGAACGCAGCAGCCAGACTTCTCACTGGTTTTAACAGAAGGGAGCACATCACCCCTGTTTTAGCGTCCCTCCACTGGCTCCCTGTGCGTTTTAGAATTGATTTTAAGATTTTACTGATTACTTTTAAAGCTCGTTTAGGTCTGGCACCCAGCTATATTTATGCACTTTAAACCCCCTATGAGCCCCCCCCGCAGCCTTAGATCCTCGGGCAGGTCCCTGTTGACTGTTCCAAGGTCGAGGCTCCGGACTAAAGGTGACCGAGCCTGCTCTGTCAGGGCTCCTCAGCTTTGGAACGACCCGCTCGAGGAGATAAGGCTAGCACCATTAGTATCCTCTTTGAAATCACTTCTTAAAACCCACTTTTATAAAACAGCTTTTAACTGCTAGTTTTAAACTTCACATGCTTTATTTTAATGTCTGCTCTATCTTTGTTGTGTCTCCCTTCTTGTGTTTGTATCTGTATGTATCTAATTATTTTGACTTTGCATTATGTTATTATTTTTCATTATGCTGACTGTGCAGCGCTTTGTAAACATTGTTTTTAAAAGTGCTATAAAAATAAAGATTATTATCATTATTATTATTATTACTCCCGGGAAGGTGACAGAACTCGCACAAGGATTTTGTCACTCATAGCCCATGTGTGTTTTTACATACATTCCAACAACTATGCCTCTTGTACCTTTTGTGTCGAGCACCCATATATTGTATTCTAGTGTTAATAAAACTCAAACGTAACCTTTATGAAATTGGTATCCTGCCGCACATCCCTGAGCGATCTCCTTAGGCTTTGTTTGTTATTCAGTTGCCATTATGTGTGGGGCCGACACGCAGCTGGAGCAGAGCCAGCTCACTCTCAGCAGAGGATGTGGATGCTATTATGTGTCCACATCATGAACCAGTTAGCTGCCCCTGCGAGCCGCTCCAGTGGGATCTGGAGCGCCACAATATATATTGTCTTTTTTTTGTTGGTGCATCCATAACTGGCCTAGTTTCTTTTATTAGGTATTCCATTTATAGATGTGCAACGATTGACTAGATCAATACCAGTATAAAAATACATAACTGAAGTTTTGAGACACACTTGAGTTCTCTTTGTGCTCAGAACTACACCAATTGTTACATTGTGTCTTGTGTGCATGTTCAAAGATAAATCATTATGAAATATTAAGGTTCTAAATATTGTGCTTCTGTACATGAATCAAATACTTCCACAAAACCCTTGTGCCTGTTCTAAGCCTGGATAAACAGGGATAATAAGGGTTAAAGTAGGGTTTAAGTATGATAACATGGTCATGACAATACTGTACTGTTTTTAAAATTGTTTAAATGTAATGTGTCAAAAACTACAAAGGACATGTGTGTGTTCCATCGACTGTGCGTTTTGTTACAGAGATGGCAGAGGGGAGGGATTGTGCTCGAGGCCCCTACATTCCCACAGTCCCAGTGTGTTGGATATAAATAGAACAAGTCCACCGACACGAGCTGGATGTAGGGGGCCGCCAGTCAGCCGCCCCTGTCCCCACTTAAATGATGGACTTATGTGTGACATATCCGCAGTATTCTTATATTCTGTATGTGGTTATTGTATGAGTGATGACAGATGTCATTGGATGTTTTTCACCGAGTGCAGCAAAGTAATACTGAAGAATTTCATGCCATGCTGTTTTCCCCAAGAAGGCATCAAATGCAGTTGTACAAGCATCAGAAAAGACATGCAATCCTGAAGCTGGGATGTACTCTGTTCAATTTATCTGATGTATTAGAATAGGTGATAGATAAGTTCACTAAAGATTCAAATACTGAGCTGTGAAAATGTAACACAGGTGGAAAATTATATTATCATTCAACTGTAGTTCAAATTCCCATTTACTTCTGTAATTACATTGAAAAAACCAATACATGATGTCACACTTCGCAACACATGCTAAGTGTGACATGAAGGCATTGTATGTTTTAATGCTGATGGGGCGGCACGGAGGCTGAGTGGATAGCACTCTCGCTTCTCAGCAAGAAGGTCCTGGGTTCGAATCCCGGTCGGAATAAGGCCTTTCTGAGTGGAGTTTGCATGTTCTCCTCGTGTCTGCGTAGGTTTCCTCCGGGTGCTCCGGTTTCCCCTACCACTAAAAACATGCACAATAAGTATGAATGTAAATGAGAGAGTGAATGGATGGTGTTGATTGGGGGCTGAAGCACCAGTGTGTTCGGCGACTCGCTTCCGTCATCACCGTGTGGAATGATTGGACCAATATCTGAACTCTGAACATTGTAAAGCGCTTTGGGTGACCGATATAAATATACATTACTTACTTACTTACTTAATTGGCTCAGAGCGTTTAAAAACCCCAAATAAAACATGTAAAAAACAACATTTCAAAAATGGACTGTAAGCCATAATCATCAACACTCACACTATGTAAGTTGAATTACAGACATGCATTATTAAATCCATTCCGTTGTCATAACATTGGTCAAATTGAAAGGAAGTAGTATGTTTATAAAACCTATAATTACTACTGTTTAATGTCATTATTTAGCACTATTATTGACTTCATTGTGCTACATCTCCTTTAATATAGTCACTGGATAAGCTGCCTCTTTTCCCCAACTGTGGTTCCTGTGTGCAGTCAGTATAAAAGATTAAATAAGATCAAATGGCAATATTAATGACGAGGAGTGGCTGGTACATTTCAGTCCGGTGAACAGCTTTGGCCCTTCAGGGGAAGAAGTTCCTGTTATGCTTCACTGCTCCCACTGCTTTTTCTGCTGCAATTACACGTGGATGCATTTGTCTTGGCTCCTATTGAGTAAAAGTAATGAGAAAACAAGTGGGGCATACAAAGCTTATTTGCATAGTGGACAGACTATACTTTCATATCAGAAAAGCTTGTTCTCCTTGCAGGGTTTCCATGTGTGCAAATTGTGATTTACACTTGTTAATGGTGGAGCGAACGGATGTTATGATGCACATGCAAAAAGAACTAAACCATGAAAATTGTACTTGCTTTTTACTTTGCACAATGAGCGATATGGCAAAAATTTGAATGTATTTTTTTTACTGTTATTTTCCCCCCTCAATATTAAATTTTCAAGTTAATTATCTATTTCTCCACAAACTGATCAGTGTCGTACAGACTCTGGCATTGCAAACATAATCCAAGAGGAGTCTTGACTGGAAACATGCTGTTCTTGTGAAATGGCCCATTGTTTTCACTCAAAGCTAATTAGGCAATTTTCACATCTTTTTTTTTTCAAATATGACATTAAACAAATTAACAGTTTGCACCTGGGGTGATACAGACATTTTATATTAGCCTGTTCTGTATTCAAATCAATAAAACCGTGAGTGTTTTTTTCTTCAAGACAAGAATGGCTTACGTAAAAATAAAAACAACACAATTTTGTTGTATCTTTAAATGACTGTAAATACTGGTATATTCAGATAGATAACAATTCAGACTTTAAATTCATGTCAAAAAGCAGTTTATTGTCACACAAATATTGACATAGAAATGAAGTGGAGCTGTGTATTTCGTTTGAATGATACTAAAGCAGTACTCTACAATACTGTGCATACAGCCACTCGGACTAGAAAAATATGTACAGAATATTGATTATTGTAGAATAACATCACATATAAATAAATAATGACAGTGGGTTTCCTTCAGAATGTAACCCAATGCTAAGTACTGATGTCTCCACGTACTTCAGGATAGTTTTATCCAAGTACAAAACACATACAAACACTGTGAGCTGTTCCTCTGGGCAGCAAAGACGTTAGAACAGTCGACACTTTAGGCCCATGGCAGGTTCCAGGGATACAAAGGACTAAAGGAGATTCACAAAACATGTCAGATCAGGATTTAGGCAAAGTTAAAGAGCGACTAAACACCAAATCAACGTTTTTTAACTCACAAACTGCATAAGTATGTTAATTGTAGTGCTGTCTACATATCCTGGTCATTTTTTTAACATTTTAGTTCAAATTAGATAAAATATCACTTCTGAGCCAAAAAACGTTGTGTGGTGCCCTCTCAACCTTTTTGGTGGTACTACATTTGAATAAGGTTCTGGCCTCTCCATTGACTCTGAAGTTCTCTATGACATCAGTTGTTTTGTGTGACGTCAGTCTGTCAGAGCCAGTGATGTGAACCCATTCAACTCTCACGCACGCCCCAGCTGCAATTTGGAGTATTCTGGCGCCATCCAGTGGATTAAAATTAAATTACATGAGTCATTCTGAGATTATTGAGTGTGATTAGGTTCAGGTGTGTAGCTTTACAATTATCTTAGAGTGTAAACAAGGGTGGAATGAGACTTTCTGGTCTGTAAACTATTGCTTTAAGCAGCAATGACAACTGTCTGTTTTTTTTTTTGTGTGACAAGTGAGTTGTCAATCACAGCCCCGACCACGCCCAACTCTAAGCCCCCCTTCTTGTCCCTTGGTCCTCCAGGCAACGCCCTTTTTAGAGAAAATTTTCAAATCTTCATGTGGGCGGAGTAAGGCTGGGCACAGGTGTTTAGTCGCTCTTTAAGTTAGTCTGTTCACCATAGTCGTCTTTCTGCATCACTCTGAAGCAGACTGACAAAAGCATTACATTCAAAAAAATAAGGCAAAGCTACATAAGTATGAGGTAAATGTTAATTGTTAAGACATACTTTATAGACAATAGGTAGACAAGTAAACATGTACAAGTACAAAGTACCAGAGGCAGGAATAACTGCATGATGTACATAAGCTGAAAGAGTACCTCATTACCACCTTATGCTCAGTTTCAACATATATTATCTATTCATATAAATACAGCAAAGGTCTTCCCCATTATCTGTTTAACAAATTGATTATAAAAGTTGTCAAGAGTAGGAACAGCAGATTTGACATTTTGGCCCCTTTCTAGAGAAATCATTTTAGGCGAGTGCATTGCCAGGCTGCAGTCCATGTGCAAATTAGACTCACTGTTCTGACAGTAAAATGCAAATGATAGGCCATTTGTGGTTCCCTTCTCACCCTGAACTAATCCCTCTTCCCTTTTTACACAGTCCAATATACAACAGGTCAGTCACACAAATCAATAATTTAGTTCTCACAACAAGGACAGATCACAAACAGCACTGCAACACAACACACATACAATAACATACAGTATTTTACAGCAGGGGTGTGAAACTCCAGGTAATGTACAGGTTACATGTGAATAGAACGATGTGATATTAGTGGAAAGCCTCGCAAAACAGCACATTATGTACATTTCAACTTCATTACCTATGTTTTGGAACCTTTCAGGCTTGTCTTTCCAGTTTGACAAGAATAATTTATAACACAACAGAATTATGTTCCAGCTATCAGATAGTAGTAAGTAAAGCATCTAATGAGACTGCAATTGCGTGTTGAACTAAATCATATAAGTTATATGTTTTTCTATAATTAATAATCTCTAATTGTATAATGTTCTGCACTAAATAGCTTTTTCCAACAATTATAATCGTATCAAGCTTAAATAGCGAAAGCAACTGTGACAATGGAATGCACTTAAACTAGGGATGGGACCATATGATATTTCTACCCTCATTAACTGCAGAGTAATTAGTGACATGGCAGCTTTGGGAGAAACGTAACACATACAAGTATATTTTCTGAATACTCTTTTAAATAATAGGCATTTAGGTGCAGTCACTTTTTTCTTTGGCTGGCATACAGATAAGAGTAGTATCAGTTACTTTACAACGTTTTGCCAGGTCATAAGGAAAACGTCACTTTAACCATGCACGCAAGTCAGTTTTATACTTTTCTAATTGAAATCATAATTAACATGCATTCCATTTGTTCTACTAATAAAATGAACATGAAAGTATTCCATGTATTCAGAGTACAGTACTGGGATTGGACCATGCCATTGAATTCACTACAAAACACATTTTACAGCAGCATTCTGTGCCAAAATACATTCGCAAACTATTCTCCTCAACGATTATAACTGAGATGAAGACTTCTAAATATTTGAGTCATGATCGACCAAAGTTATGTGCAAAAAAGGTTTATGCATTTGTGAAACTGTTATGGGGTATAAATAATAATAATTACGGCTAAATTACAGCTACGACTAACTGTAGTGATTCTGTGGGTTTTTAACATTATGTCCCATCCCTACTGTAAACTAACCATTGTGTTTCCAAAAGCATCATTTCATCTGCGCTCTCGTGTGCGTGTTTACTGGAATATCTGACTGTCGTGAGTGAGCACCAGCCCGTGGGCCTTCTCTTCGTGCTGACCGGGGCTTCTGTCGGACACGGCGGTGAAGGACAGGTGGTCGTGGTCCAAGATGGCCACGCGGTCCTGAGGCTTCTCCTTCTTCAGGTAGAACATCCTCCTCAGCTGCTTCAACTGCTGCAGCTCACAGAAGGTCTCCAACACCACCAGCATCACGATCAAGCCCAGGATCAGGTACACTGCAGAGGCATGGTTTTACACAGGGTCAAGGTCAAGTTTATTTATGTTGCACATTTAAATAACACAGACATGAATGCCACAAAGTGCTTTCCAGACATAAATAAAGATGCACATAAATAAAATGGGTTAGGGTTAGCGTAAAAATAAAGAACAACACAGTATTTTCACATTTCAAGTTTATTTGTGTTCATTCTGGCTCTTTTCTTTAGCATTTCATGTTTTAGCATTTCATGAAATTTGATACAATTTAAGTAGAATGACAGAGCCTTTGCAAAAGTACCCACATTTTCAGTTTTTTTTTTTTTTTTTTTTAAATAACAAAATCCTGTGTTATTTTGCTTTCACTTCACAGTTGTCAGTTACTTTTGTCTTGTCTTTCAGGAAATAAACAAAATCTACATGTTGTTTTTAGCTGCCCACAGTACATAGATAAACCTCTATGGTCAAGTGGGAAGTACCATATAATATTTTTGTATCACATGTACAGTATATATGTAATAATAAACAATTCTTTGTTTCAAATGTATATTAATACATTATTAAGTTATTACACATTTCCTCATATTAGCAAGGTTGAAACTCAAAGTCTACTTTCGATTATGAGGTTATGTGTTTAAAAAATTCCAAAGAGACGATGTTGCCTCATATGTGTCCTTTCGAGGTACGTTCAAAGCACATACATTTGTCTTTTGTTGTATATATGTTAAGAATATGTTTTCTGACTCCCCTCTGAATAAGAATCTGGTGAGCCTGTGCTCTAGCCTCCCTATAAGTTTTCATGTTAGTGAAGCATTTTGGTTTGTATGTATTTGAAAATTATACATAACATTGTTCGGCTTTTACCATACTGTAAATGTTACTGAACAAACTCTAAACTCAGAAAGAAAAATGAATTCCTCAAGAGTCTGAAGTCCACGTGTGTCCTTTCCCTATTACCATTTCCTTCTAGAGGTTGGCCTGAGCGTGTAACTGGGGATTGCACAACAATCTTGTTATCTCATTTGATAGCTTTGTGTTTTTATGGCTGTTGTAAATTATTGATGTTTGACATATGCTAACACTTAGTACAAATTTAGTTTTTGACTAATACTGATACAATTCAACTGTTGCATTGTTTTTGTTGTTTGCATTGACTTTTTTTAAATAAATTACATAATAATACAGAAACTAAAACCATTCTACTGTGGTTAATAAAGTCTTAATCTGTCCTCTCTTTCCCAGCATGCACAGTGCCCACTCATGACGTCTGCCACACTACGATCAAAGCTGTGTTTTTGGGATTGTCCCAAGTTAATATTTTCTGCTCTATTCTACCATTAGAAGTCTGAGTTACCACTGGATAATGTTTGTGAATCACTGTTATGTATTTTTTTGTTATTTGTATTTTGTATGTCTTTTTTTCACTGTTTTCACTGTTATGTAACCAACAGAATCAAAACATACTCAGGATCAAGATAGACAAATCTGTATAGCATCCAAATAATCTATTGACATTGAATTGAAAAGCCTACAGCAATAAATGTTTACTTTTTATTTACTGCATATGTGAGTGTGTCCCATAGATCCATGGTGTGTCCAAATTAAAAACCACTTAGACAGTAATAATAATAATAATAATAATAATGCAGCTAGACTGAAGTGAAAAGAGTTCATCAAAAAAATAAACCACCAACAGATTTAAATAAAGAGTTAAGAAGGCCACACACAAGAAGCTATTTATTTTTTTAACTAAATATGTTTTACAGGTGAAAACATCCCAATTTAAGATGCATAATGATACGTATCTGAAGCCACCTGTTGCCATGGATATCCTATATCAGTTTGTTTATAAGAGTATGTAGATGATGTCGTTATGAATGCTCTAAAAAGAAGTGGACATATCTGTACCAAAACACTTTATATTTGTAATTGGTAACTCAATCCATGGGGACAAAAATAAATCTAAATTGTGCAAAGCTTGTGTAAATATCTAAAATATCAACAACAAAAATTGAGCAGTTTCTTCATTTGTAAAAAAAAAAAATTACTTCTTCTACAATAATTACGGCACATCTGTTTGTTGGTATTAATGTCTTCTCTGCCATTTTCTAATTTCATATAAGTAAATAAACAAATGCAGTAATAGTCTCACAGCTTCGTATGTGTCAGTTTTCTATGTGTGATGAAGTTTTGACCCCATCTGTTATTTCAGTTCAGATAAAGAGCCACATCCGTCTGAAACAGGAAGCAATATACTTTGTGGTCATAAAAAGCAGAAACCTACAGCAAGCGAGGACATACAGGCAAACTATTAGAGAGGGGATAACGTTATGCCAGATGTGATATGACAATGATTAATGTAAGAGAGGGAGTTTTGGGCCAAAAGGTGAGAGTGATCCAAGGCGGCGTTAACAAATCAATATTCATAGTCAGCATCATTAAAGAAGGGTGGTGTACACTTTGCTGCTATTAGAACTCCGCACTTCAGCTTTCGGCTTAGGCGCTGCTTTGTTGATTATATCTGCGCGTATGTTAGCTATAGTCTGTGAGGGGAACACGGGCTGAACTTTGGGAAGCAATTAACTCTGTTTTGGATCAGTTTGCACACCAAATTGGACAATACATTTTCTATTGCATTGTATTCGTTTGACTTATGTGTGAAGAATGCAAACGCTATCCAAAAGGTATTAACAAACCCCAAAATCTAAAGGATAAATTAGAAGAGATTATTACACACTTTAATCTCTTGTGTATTAGGTATTTTAGAGACACTAAGCTTGAGGTGTAGTATAATAGACTGTGAATATTAGCAGACGTAGCGGCTAAAGTAGGCTGGTGCAAAAAAAAAAAAAAAAAAACACGAATCTGGAACTTAGCGCTGCATAAGCCAACAGTCAACTTTTGGACCAGGCTGTAAAGCTGTTTTCGAGATGACAGAAGGCGCCAAAAGAAATCATTGGATAATTCTGTTTCCGGGTACGCCACCACCATCAAGGAGCCGGATAAAAAGCATGTCAACGCACGTACTGTACTCACAGACCCCCTTTGAGCCGCCACTATGTAGTACCCACCTGTGATGCCCACTTTGTAGAGCTCTCTAAACTTCTGGTTGGCAGCTTCCCCAGGAACATAGTCGCCAAGGCCGATGGTGCTGAGTGATATGAAGCAGAAGTAGAACGACTCCAGGAAGTTCCAGTTGTCCTCCAGCGCAGAAAATATTGCAGCCGGAATGAGGAAGAAGCAGCAAACGGCCAAAACGGCGAGGGTGACGGCGTGGACGATAGCCACCAACGGTTTGGAGAAGCCCCAGTTTGTGTGGAAATAAGCGATGGGACGGCGTGTGCTGAAGACCATGATCCTTTGCACCACAGCGGTGAGAAAGAGCAGAGTGAAGGGAATGCCGATCACAGAGTAGACAATGCAAAAGGCCTTTCCACCATCAGAGAGCGGGGCAGTGTGACCGTAACCTGCAAGACAAAAAAGGTTAAAAAAGGTTATGTTATTTAAAGAATGCATTATTTGGCCATTGAAAAATAACAGATTTTTTACTTTATCCTTTCATGTATTAGAAGGTGAAATAATATCTTAAGTTGCCCAAGTCTCAAGGGTAAAAAATCCACATAAATACATACCACATATCCACATCTTCCTATGCTACCACCAGAGGGAGGAGTCAAATTTGTTTTGTTCCCAACTCAGCCATGTGGTTTTAAAAAACGAAATTTCAACTGAGAAATTGCCAAACAAATAGTGGCAATACTTTTGTTTAAAAGGCTCTGAACGCGATGTCATTGTGGTACAATGAGATCTTTTTTTTATTTTATTTTTATTTCACCTTTATTTAACAAGGAAAGTCCCATTGAGATTAAGAACCTCTTTTTCAAGGGAGTCCTGGACAAAAGGATAATAACAAGTTTGAGTGCATTTAGAGGAGAGGAGTAGATGTTTGTGCCAAAGATTCCTGGTATTCGTCTAGACAGATATAAAAAGAACTCCAGATCTGTTTTGAACAATGTTTAAAGTATGTCAATATATGTCTCCTTTAAGTGACATTTTTTCTCCGTGCAGGCCTTTAAACGAAATGTAGCAATTGAATAAATATTATTGTTTGTCACCATGTTTTTCTGAAGAATAATATTGTCCATCAAAATGTGTTATCATGGCATAAGTATGTCATAATTGAAGGGGAATAGACAGCAGACCAAGGCTGTGCAATATAATATATTAGAACTATGGCTGCACAACGTTGGGATTTAGAGCGATATGTGATAGTGGTGTCAAGGACTACGATAACAAATTATATTACAGTATCAGTGTTTTTTTCTGAACAAGTTGTTGCTGATTTTCTCTCATCTCATTTCTTCTCCTGTCATGTTGGGTTTTATTCTTTTCCTTCACTCGATCAAGAGAGTCTTTGCGCTTGCTCAAGCAGAAAATGGCAATGTGTGCATGAAAGAAACTCACAATTGATACACAATCATTGCACCTCTTTGCAATATCAATTATGTACTACCCATTATGTGTATCACAATACTCAACATATAATGCAGCCCTAGTTAGAATTAATTATTTTTCTGCCTCTCACTTGAACTCTCAGACAATCAAACACGCAAAATCTTCACCAATATTATTGTATAACAGGATACTAGTTTATGTCTGCCAGCTTCTTATTTTCTTCTCCATTTTATTATGTGGCTGCAAAGTTCCACAGGATGGCTTTTAACTGTCTTACATGTATTTACAGTATATTACTTGCGTCTTGTTAGTCTTGTGTAGCGATGATTCAATCTCGGCACTGAACTGTAAATATATAGACAGTTTCTGGATTGGATTGATTCAAGATTCTAATGTTATCTTTATGGTGCATTGCTAGATTTTTAACACACTTCAGTATTATTTGAATTGGGTCATTTATTACCATATTGATGATCATTTCAGGCAAAACAATAGGACAAGAATAAACCAGACCCAGAAATAGGACAATAGGACAAGAATAAACCAGACCCAGAAATGGATTGAGGGGAAGAAAATGGATGGATGGATGGGCCGTAATGACAAAAGCCTTGACACATTTCATCTTTCTCCAAACTGAAAGCAGCAGGGCAACACGCATACCTCACAATCTATGTAATAACCTCTATTATGGTGCGTTTTGTGACAATACAGATAGCTCCACGCAGTCGGACGAAAGTTCTTCAGACGTATGTAGAGACAGTATTGCACTTGCTCAGCTCTTGTTGCACACTTCCTACAATGTTCTGTAAGCCACATACTCTCAAACTTGATATGTGGAAAAAAATGTCTAATGGCTGTTTGCAAATATTGACTTGCAGCCCTAAAGGTGATCCTGTTTTCTCATGTCTTGAGGTGTTGGTGAAAAGTCATTACAATAATAACGTACAGCTCTGTGAATGGATTTCCGATCTTTATTTCTTTGTTGTAACAATATGCATTCTCTTCAAGACCCCACATCAGTGGGGTCTTGAAGACCCCCACTATCATACAATCACTATGATGATCATACACATGACATATTTAGTTTTGGTTCATGAAAAGTATTTTTGTTCTGCCCTATTTCCTATTTTTATTGTGTGGGTATAAAGAATGATGAATAATGTTTAAGATTACAATATTGGCCTCATATTTAATGTCATTTCTTTCAGGGGTAACTGTATTTTTTTATGTGGCCAAACTATGAATGTATACTGTGTTACCTCAGAACCACTCAAAAACACCCCTTGTAATAATTATTGTTCAGTTAAATTATCAGCAGAAAATAAGGACTTATTATCTGTTCCATGTTAGTACTCTATTTAGAAAGACAAAACCACAAACAAAAACATAATGAATCACAATAAAGTAGCTTTGTTAGGCCTTAGCTTGTTATGCTATTAAGGACCACCACCATAGTATTTTCCTATGAGGAAAATCATTATTCTGTTACCAGTGTAAAGCGTCCATATGGGCCTTCTCTTCTAGACTGTAATAACACAATTGCTACTTTGTTATTATCGTTACACATAAAGATAATAACAGTAGACAGCATAATAATAAAGGCCTTTAGCAAAACCATTTACCTTGAGCCATGCATCATCTTGGCAGCTTACCTGTGGTGGAAAGTACAGTGCTGGCGAAAAACAACGCAGAGGTGAAGTCCCAGTTCCAGTTGACCGAGGCGTTATTCAGAATAGAAACCCCATAATTACTGGCGTCCAGGGCTCTCTTCAGAAACCGCTCCAGACGCTCTTCAGAAATGCACTCATTTTCTTGGAGGAACTGTTTTTTGATGGCCCTGAGCTCCTGACGCAGAAGGTCTTCGTACGGCAGCTCCACGGAGGAAAACACCACCGCACCGAATGTTAGGTAGAGAATGTAACCCAACACCAGAGAAATAAAATACCACGTTGATTTATGCGTCTGAATCAATCGGACGCACGAATTACTGGCTAGAGACTGGAGCATTTTGAGGATGAGGAGAATGAGGAGACACACGTAGATCTTATAATAGAAATGCAGTTTGGCTACTGTCTGTACGCACAAGGCGACCCGACGATGTGAATGAAATACGAGATGTTACAAAGACAAAGCGCAAATGAGCCGAGGTCTTCTTCCCTTTCTGGTGCGATAGCAACCTGCTTTGACAAATGATGCGTTCATTTACCGTTAGAACTATCCGGAGGAAGACCTATTAACGTTATTTCACTTATGTCTATAAAAAAATTGTTTGTACTTCAAAATAATATAATGTATAAAAAAGTATAGTTGAAGAAAAAAATGTGTGCAAATTAACATTTATAATTGGTATCAGACACGTATTATGATATTTCCTGATTTACTTGAATGCAACGGCGATGTAGCTGCGACAAAGGCCGCGCGTGACGTCAGTGCAACCTCTCTTCAACAATATTATGCAAATTGTACAGTCTTAAGACACCACCCCATGCTCCCACAATTTATAATTAAACACTTTAATCGAGAACTGGCACAATGTTTGACGCAAACGCCATGTTACGTTGAATCATTAATTCTTTTGTTTTGATTTATTCATTTTAATGGACATGGGCCACCATTCGACCAATGCATAATTATAATAGTATTGTTTTATTTTTGTTATTAATGAAGCTGTTCAAACACTGCCCTCTTGTGGTTGTAATGACAATAATTGAATGAGCACCATCCTGTTACATAATCAGAGTATGTATTTATGCAGTCCATGATGTGTTGAACGCATCATACTGTTACTTGCATGGATTTATATGTAGGATGTCATATATACATAATAATAATATTCGAGCATGGCATTATAATGACACATAATGATATATAAAATTCACTGTAAAAGGCTTCAGCGCCTTTGATGACACCGATGTTCAAATCCAGGTTAAAGACTTTTCTTTTTGCCTGTGCATACAACTGGATAATTTCATCTTTTTATGTCATGTTATTTATTATTGTAATCCTTTGTGTGATTTTTATGGTTTTAATTGCTTGTGTGATTCTAATGTTTTAATATTTTAATTACCTGTGTGATTTTAATTTCTTTTATGTTTTTAATTACTTGTGTGATTTTAATTGTAATTTTAATGGTGATTTTGCCTTTGTTTGTGTGATGATTTGTGCCTTATGTGGTGTGGACTGTGAGGCGCTTTGTGTTACCCTGTGTAGGAAAAACGCTCTATAAATAAAGATTGATTGATTGAAGCCTTTTACAGTGATTTTTTCGATCATGTATACAGGCAGTGTCGAGTTACTCAAACAGTGACTGGGATAGTATTATATTTGTATTACTCATGGATTACTATATTGCTATTTTTGAAACATACCAAGTTATTTAGACCGAAACTCTATTTAAGTAATGTCTGAATGAAGTTTTGTTTCACATACTAAAAAATCAAAGCAATGGTTTTGGTCCCACACAAGTAATATTTAACCATATTGTAAATAACTGAAGTTACTTGACCGTAATGTAGTTTTATATTATATTACATATTTGTATCATAAAATATACAATACCACTTTAATTTGTTGTAATGTGACATTACTTAGTTCTTACTTCTTACAGGATTATAGTTAGACTGATGAATGATTTCGAAATTCAAGGCAATTTGGGGAAGTGTCATAACTATATTAATATTTTGTTATGATTATTGTTATTATTATTACATTATTATCATTATTATTATCATTATTATTATTATTACTATTATTATTATTATTATTATTATTATGGTGACACAAATTAAGATCAAAATATATTTTACTCATGGACTCCGGCCATGAAGCCGATACGATGACTCAAATATTGTTTTATAGTGTTTTTCATGGTTCTATGTTTTCTTTTCATATGTATCCAGCAGTCACTCTTGGTCAACTGTGGCCCATGCGGGCTGCCGTAGTAATGCCACCTTCTGGCGGTCCGCCTCAATGAGCGCTGCAAAGATGGCGTCGACATACGCACAAGCGAGAGTCAACTGTGCCGGCGATTAGAAAGTGCTTCAAATACACATTTATTGGACGTTTTTGCAACATATCGGCGGTGCAAAGTGCTTCTGGTGACGTTAGGACACGGAAGAGACCATGCATATTCCGTGAAAAGAGGAATCGGCCTTGCAATGGAGCCTCCGGATCGTAACAAGCCCAGCAGGTAACAGACGCTACACCATTAGGACTTGGGAGCTGCCAAATAAAGAGCTCAATGTGACACCGCTGTTAGCCTGCAGCATCGCGTACACATCCACTTCCTGTCAAATAGTGAGGCGGTGCAGATATTGCATTTCTCACGCCGGAGTTGCAAACTTTTTGGAGCTGCATTTGCTTGCGCACTTTGTCCGAGAGACTTGCTTAGTAATTCGCTTGAATGCTTTGGAGTACGCCACGATGCCCCGCAAATGAGAAGGTAACATTAGTGAGAGGAGCAGCCTATATTGAGTGACATCACAATGCTAGCTCTTATTTACAGTTTGCGGCATGCTCAATGTATTGTTTATGTGCAAGTTAAGTATCAGTCTGTATTTTTATTAAAAGGGGAAGCCGCTTCAAATATGAAAAGTAGAGCATAGTTATGATAACAATACTTTTGTAGCGTATGTTGTGTTAACCTCAACTTTGGGACTGTATCTGTTCTTGTTAGTGTTAGTACAACGCATCCAGACCAGTCGTTTTTATTGTTTGCTGAATCATGAAACGATTTGTACTTAGCGTTAATGATCTGATTTCGTATTGTGCAGACGGATTTTGCAACGCCTCAGCCATGATCCATGTTCAGGTACTTAAGATATGGTACGGTTCGGTATACGTTGTAGGCTCTTGTGTGCACCTAACTCTAGTGGAAACGCCACAGTATTTGCCCCTGACCGCTGGTAGCAGACCCTCAGGAATCCGCTGTTGTGTCTTTGCTCTCCTCCCTTCTCATGCAGTTGTTTGTCGACGGACTGCGAAGGGCATGTTTCATCCCAGATTTGTGCAAAATACCAAGTCTTTCCGTGGTTTGCTGACTTACTGTTATTTCGGCCCAGATGCCTTTTGCACTCTGCGTGCAGTCACTCGGTCTAAAGTGGACACAAACAGCTCACATGATTGTGCAATACTAGCCCTAATTGCTCAGCTCTTGTTGCACACTGCGAATGTGTTTAACAGTGCAGTATTATGCAGTGGATATTTTGATGCACGCTTGTCACGTCAATGCACAATGGAGATGTGCATGCAGTTGTGCTTGTGCATGAGCCAATAGCATATGTTACAAAGATGTCAGCCTGCAAAACGCATAAATCGCTCACTGCGCTTTTTGCATAGCTCCGGTAACATATTCTTACATGCCAATTGCATTATTTCTTTAGCATGTGATTTACTTTATCTACTTCAGGAACTAGGCAGGCAATGGCTGTAACTGTGGCAATTATTGTTGCACAGAAGGCCTTTGTCATGATGTCTTGTTCTCTGTGGCTCTCTGGAGGCATTCCTGGGATTTCAGGATGTGGTGTACAGTACACAGAGGAGAGTGTACTGTTGTAGCTTGCAGAAGCTGCAAGCTACAACTTATTAATGGCCACATTTTAAGCACAGACTGAGATACAGATGGAGCAGCCTTCTGCATTTCCTCTGCATCCTGTTTCAGCCCACACCTGCTTCAGACCAAATTAATGCGCATGTTCTGTCACTGTCATCTGCCGTTTTCCTTTCAATTTTGAATCTCATTTCTGCTGGAAACACTGAAGTTTGCAGCAATGCAACATTTCAGAAGTATTATTTGTGTTTGTATTGCATTGCATTGCATGATAAGTAAGAGACTATTTTTTACGGTGTACCTAATTTGGGTTTTGTGATCAATGCCAACAATTGCTTCCGTGACAGAAAGTCTATATCTTGCCTCTACAAAGGTGGTTTGGCCAAGTGTGATCTGTTTTAATGTGTTTTTGTGGAGAAAATCATTTGTGCATCCATCTAAATGCTGCAGAGTTGAGATTGGGACGTAGCAATGTCAGCGTGTTCCAGACAAGGGTGAGGTCAAGTCAAGTACGCTGTGTTCATTGTTTATGAATGCTCACAGCCTGTGGCACACTTATAGTGGCTCCACTATTCTGCCAGTTTATCAGAAGGCCTGTCTATCCACACTGTCCTCTGCACAATCGGAAAATAAGGCGACACTGACTATGATTGTCATAGAGTAATAATACAACTGAAAATCTCTTCTACCAGCCAATGGTAGAAAAAAGTGTGCTCTTACAAAGCATGAACAAACTCCTAACTGAAAAAGTCTCTTTTAGATTTGGCATTGCGAGTACGTGTGCTCAGCAGCCAGCTGTGGGCTATTCAGCTGTGGGCCTCACAGGCCACGTGTGATACAAAAGAGTGCCCCACTCGGGCACAATACCGTGGATGGTGACAGGTCAAGGGTCAGCCCCCTGACTCTAGCAGCCCTCAGTATCATTGCTCCTGAATTTGTGTTTTTTATTATGCACTCTGTTGCACCCATGGGACTGTAGCATTCCGCTGGCCTTTATCAGAGCCATCAGATGAGCCATTGAGAGCGGCCAGACACCATCTGCAGTGATATTTCACCAGTGCCAGCCACACAGGGACAGCTTGAAAACCAAAGTGTGGTCAGAGTTTAATTTGAGGCTCTAACTTTGCCTTTGCAGCCGGCAAATAGGTTGAAAAATGTATTAAATAATGAACTTGTCTAAAGTGCAGCTTGAACAGCCCAAAGAATCTCATAGCAACCAAACAAACAATTGTCTGTGATGGCGTCATTAGTTCCTGTCATTCCTCAGTGATTCAGTCATGCTACGCAGACTTGCGTGGAGGTTTCTATTTATGAAACTATTTATTTTCTTTCACATGCATTTGTTAATAACTCTCTGCCTCTTACGGCTGTGTGTTTGTGTGTGTGTGTGTATGGATATATATATATATATATATAATTATATAAACATTTTCTCCGCTGTACAGCGATGGGAGAAAGTTATAGGGTCAGAGAATAAGTAGGCTTATGTCTAAACTTGTGTATGCTTTGTGTTTTACGGGTGAGAGGGTTTAGAACTCAACCCCTTATGAAATGTTGTATTGCGGTTTTTTTAAATCTTCTGTAGCCAGTTCATTGTTTTTTGAATTTGTACACAAGTTGCAAATAAGTAACTACTACTACGATTTCAAGTCCTCCTCTTGGGCCCGCCTACCAGCCTTCCTGATTACACTTATTAAGATATTAGTGAATTTATACTTCAAAACCATTCAGCATTTGTTTTTAGTGCTTTGATTTTTGATTTCTTACATGAGCCTGGTACATTTTTTTTTTTGCTTCTAATTCTGCATTGTCATTTTTTTAATTGTCATCACTTTCTATTACAATTATTGCTACTACTGTTTTTGAAAAAACTATTTTGAGCAACAATATTCCCTGGCACATCACATTCAAGGGTTCGCTGTTAAACAGATTCAAGTTCTGAGATTTCTGAATTGCTGCTAAAAGTGGTGGTCCTTGCAGTAGCTCTGAAAGTGTGCCCATGCAGCAGGTGTCTGTTTGTGGGCCTGATGCACCACTCTGCTCCCTGGGGATTCCGTGTGGGGGCCTCATTTAAATATTCAGCACTTTGGCAGATGGACAATACAAAGTCTCCCTCCGCATGTGGCGCCCTGAAAAGCTTAAGCAAGTCATTTCCAGATGATCCTGCACACTTCAGCACACTTCACCTTTCACACTCGCACACGCTCTGCAGTGAAAGCACAGCGGCCCTGCCCCTTTCAACCCCGTGCATAACAGGCGCGTGTTGGGGAATGCTTTTCAGTCAGATGATCGATGGAAGATGGCTGCAGTCACTTTTCATGCCCCTTCCCGGGGCTGGTTTTGTTGCAAGATCATGCTTTCCAATCTTTTATTTTAATCCCATTACAAAAAAGCTTTTTGAACAGAATTTGTGAACAAGGATTTGACAAGTTTCTTCTTTCAAATAGGTGTTAAGTAAACGGTTTAGAAAATATCTTTTTCATTCAGGCTGTTTTTTTACAAGAAACTTGTTACCGTGAAAACATTTTAACACGTTTTTTGTCTTTTTTTAAATTTTATTTCCTTTTTCTTACATTGTAGTCCAACCATGAACTGAGCATAATAATTTGTGTTCTATGGGTGATTACGTTTGCTGTGCTCACATTATTGAGCACTGGTGACGGGGTCATGGATGTGTGTTCAGAATAAGATACCAAGAGATACTGTATCACAACATAATATTCTATTTCTGTGCAGCAGTTTGGTACACATAACATTCATGTTGAGATCGACCTATCTCTGCTGTGTTGTTGGACATATTCTCTATGATATAACTAGCTAAATGACTTATTTGAAGTTAAGGTGTGAGAAATGGAGCCAATATTATTTTTTTTAAACATTTGTTATTACAAATTATGTAGCACACTGATCACATAGACGGAATTGCTTGGCACTAAACAATACTTTAAAATCTTATTTTCCGTCACAAAAATTATTGTAACATTGAATCATATATTTGTCAAAAACTTGCTTGTGTTTGAATATAAGATATGATAAAATAAGATAGACTTAAATGATCTCACACTGGAGAAGTTTACATGGCGTACAGGGGTAGTAAAAGAGTGAATGTATTGATTGATTTTTCAGTGGTAAAATAATCAATAGCGTTAAAATAGTCGATAGCTGTAGCCCTAGCAGGGACAATGTACACAAACTAGTTTTCAGCATTGTTTGAATTTACTTCCAGGAAATAAGGATGTTGTACGGTTTAATGTCCTGAATTCTGTTCACTCTGTACAGGCAGGCCAACCCACTGGACAATGTGTCTCAACAAAACCAGGAGGAAGAATCCTGCGACTCTCCCAGTGAGGAAGAGGAAGCCACATACAGTACTTCACCTCCTTTCAACCAACGTCAGATGAAACGCTTGTCAGTCAAACACCAGAGAAACTGTCAAGCTCGGAGTGGTGGCCGTTCTCCCAACAAAAGTATGTACACTGCAGCTCAGGTGATGTTAATCATGAGCAGTTTGTCATTGAAAACCACATAGGCTTTATATGGGTTGACTGACCATGATAATCACTCTGAAACATATATTTTTTGTTTTTAGTGGAATTGAATCCTTCTTTGGTGAAGGAGAATCCCAGGTTAGTGGAGAGTCCTGAAGAACATAGCTACAAGCAGGGTAAAAAGCAGAGAGCTACGTTACGTTCCTCGGAAAGGGACAACAAGAAGACCTTTGAAGGAGCCTTCATGCTGGATCCTCTCTCAAAGTCTGTCCCATTTGGCGCCCTCAGCATGGATCCACGTAAACATTACTTAAGCTTAAGTAGCAAGCTCCCAGTGTCAATACCACACTTGGCCCGGACACATAGGCAAACCTCGCGAACTGACTGCCCTGCTGACCGCCTTAAGTTTTTTGAAACACTACGATTGCTGTTAAAACTCACTTCAATGTCCTCTAAACGAAAGGAGAAGGAGCAGAGGGGTTTGGAAAACATGGCTTTCATGGGCCACAACAATGAGGTTATTTGGTTAGAACTTCAAGCGTGGCATGCACGTCGCAGCACTAGTGACCAAGACTTGTTTTTGTTCACGGCTCGCCAGGCCATTCCTGACATCATAAATGAAGTGTTGCACTTTAAGGTCAACTATGGAAGCCTGCGACTGGCCCAGAGCTCAGAGCTGCCGTCCTCGCAGGACTCCTCCCCAAGTGGGAGTGAGGAGCACGATTCGTCTATTGTTGAAGTCAACCACATTGGGGCAGGCCAGTGGGGCTTCAGCGCCTGCCCCTCTATGAATGCGGCTGAGCCTCTGGGCTCAGGGACGGACTGCAGAGAGCACCTGCAGCGACAGCGGCTGGCCTTTGAGCAGGTTAAGCGAGTGATGGAGTTACTGGAGTCTGTGGAAGCCTTGTACCCATCGTTGCAAGCCTTGCAGAGGGATTATGAGAAGTATGCAGCTCGGGACTTCCAAGGCAGGGTGCAGGCACTCTGCCTGTGGCTAAATATCACTCAGGACCTTAACCAGAAGCTCCGTGTTATGGCCACTCTGCTTGGGCTGCATGATCTGTCTCGTATCGGTTGGCCGGTGTTTGAAATACCCTCACCGCGCTGTTCCCGTGGCAATGATGAAGAGGAGAATGAAGAGGATGAGGAGAATGATTCAACTGCCACATTCACAGCTGAGAGTGATGCAGAGGAGGAGATGACACTCGGCACCGTGGCGGGCGACCTGTCTCCTTCTCTCACTCCCAAATTTGCCCAATTGTTGTCGGAGGACGAATTTCTGTCATCTGCAGCTTCTGGCACAGCAGACACATCTGGAGGAGTATTCTGTCCGACAGCAATTTACAGACCATTTGTGGATAAAGCTCTGAAACAAATGGGGCTACGTAAACTGATCCTGCGACTGCACAAACTCATGGACCGGTCTCTGCAGAGATCGAGGGCAGCGCTGCTCTGTCATGTGCCGGTGCAGGAGGTGAGCTGGGCTTGGGTAGATAAGGTTCATGTTTGAATTTAACTCACCGCAGAACCCCACAATCTGAAAGTGTCTCCTTTTCCCCTGCAGTTTTCTGATTTCCCAGACTCAATGTTGTACAGTGACTACCTACCAGAGCTGTCTCGCACTGTGTCATGCACTGGCTCAGGACTTTTGGACCAGGTTTCGTGGGAGGACTTGCAGGACATGGACCTCCCATCTTTTCGCCCAGCGTTCCTTGTGCTGTGTCGAGTGCTTCTTAATGTTATTCACGAATGCCTTAAACTGCGACTTGAACAAAGGCCTGCCGGTGAACCTTCTCTCCTCAGTATCAAACAGGTACATCCTGATTCACATATGGAAATGTCTGAAAAATGCACAATTGCTTAATCTTCTAACTCGTATGTTCTTTTGTGTCGTTGCCCACCTCAGTTGGTGCGAGAGTGTAAAGAAGTTCTTAAAGGCGGCCTTTTGATGAAACAATACTATCAGTTCATGCTGCGTGGAGTTGTGACTGACGCTCAGGGACTCCAAACTAACGCTAACATAGATGATTTTGAGGAAGATCTGCACAAAATGCTTGTGGTAAGACTTTCAACACAAATGGAACATACATTTTGTTAGGGTGGGCCCACTTGGTTCTGATTTCTTGTTTTGGCTGCAGGTTTACTTTGACTACATGCACAGTTGGATCCAAATGCTGCAGCAGCTTCCACAGGCCTCACACAGTTTAAAGAACTTGTTAGAGGAGGAATGGCACTTCACAAAGGTCATCACTCCCTACATCAGGGGTGGAGAGGCCCAGTCCGGGAAGCTCTTCTGGTCAGCTCTTTCTTTACAGTAGCCCTGAAATTTACTGGCCACCTTTCTTCCACTATTAACATTTGATTTTCTCACCCCCCCCCTATTTTTGTTTATAGTGACATTGCGGGGATGTTATTAAAATCAACAGGAGAATTTCTTGATGCTGGCTTGCAAAGAAGCAGCAAAGAATTCTGGGAAAATGCAGATGACAGCTCGGCATCAGATGAAATCAGGTTAGATACCCCCCTCCCCCAATTGGCATTTATGGTGCATCTAATACTTATATATTAATACATATTTTCTTTAGGCGTTCGGTTATTGAAACAAGTCGATCACTTAAAGAGCTGTTTCATGAGGCAAGAGAACGAGCTTCCAAGGCTTTAGGCTTTGCAAAAATGCTTCGCAAGGTAAGATTCTGCTCTCTAATGATTTTTAGTTATTTGTACTACATGTTTTGAAACAATATTTTGACCAGTATTTTTTTTTTTTCTCTGCAGGACCTTGAAATTGCAGCCGATTTCAGTATCACTAATGGTGTATCTTGTCTACTGGAAGCACTCAAGAAGAGAAATTACATAAAGGTGCGTGTGTACATGTACTTTTTGGTCTGTTCTCTGCTCACCTCCATCTGCAAAAACAGGTTGTGATTCCTGGCTTAGAGGAACTTCAAGTCTTTGTTCCTTGTGGCCTGATGGAGCAGCGGTCTATGATCTTGCAGCTCCTAAACGCTGCAGCAGGAAAAGACTGCTCTAAAGAACCAGACGAGATCCCGGAGGAAGAGGCCTACCTACTGATGAGCAAACATGGATCTAAAGACTCGATATCAGAGTCTGAATGGGCTCTGTGGGATGGAAACTCGCTCACTCTGGTGTCCCAGCTCGAGACAGTGGACACTCTGAGCGCAATGACGGTTTGGACCTTTTGTTATTCCCAATAGAAGATCAATTTGATGGAGCCTTTTCATGAAATAATACAACTGTAACATATACACACATAAAAAAAAGTGGTGTAATCTTGCTCCATTGGATTACACAGTCTGTTTGCTTTCCCACAATGAAATGCATGTTAACTGATGATTATCAAATTAAATTATTGGGTGTTTTTTTTAGGTTGAAAACATGCTATTGATTGTGATGCATTCTGCTCACCTGGTGGCCCAGCGCAAAGCATTTCAGCAGTCCATGGAGGATGTGCTCACTCTGAACCGAGAGCAGACCTCAAGTCAACCACTCATCGCAACAGCATTGCAGGAACTTAAGGTAGTGATGAGATAAAGACATATTACAGCCTGCAAAAACTGGAATGACTGAGGCTTTTAATAATAGCCTCTATTGAGTGCCTCAGTCTTTCCAATGTTTGATTTCTATTTACTACTGTTTATTTTCTTCTGTAACACTGATGTCATTTGTAACAGAATGAAGCACTACTGCTCTGCATAAAGATCAGCTCTGCCATAGACCAGGTGGAGTACATGTTTACTACAGATATCGAAGCCGAGGTGGAAGAGTCTGAGTCTGCCACACTACACCAATACTACAGAGAGGCCATGATACAGGGATATAACTTTGCCTTTGAGGTATGAACTGGAGGGATTTGCATTGGATTCGACCCCGATTAGCATTTTTCCTCAATCAATAACTTTTAAAACAAGCTCTGCACTTACCCCCAGATTTAAACTCTAACAAAATACTTTTTGTTATGGTTTTCAGTATCACAAAGAAGTTGTACGTTTGATGTCTGGAGAGTTCAGACAGAGGATCGGGGAGCGATACATAGCGTTCGCCCGCAAATGGATGAACTATGTCCTGACCAAATGTGAAAGTGGCAGAGGAACAAAGCCCAGGTAAATGTATACTTATAACTGCAGCACTACTAAGACTGCATGTTAATTTCATGATCATTTGTTTTTTCCACAGATGGGCTACTCAGGGATTTGACTTTCTTCAGGCAATCGAACCAGGCTTTATTTCTGCACTACCAGAGGATGACTTCTTGGTACGTTTTTTATTTATTTTATTCTTCTTTTTTTACTTGCATACTTGCAGAATTAAATATCAATAATACAATAATCGTGAAATGCAGAATTTGCAAGCCTTGATGAATGAATGCATTGGACATGTAATTGGGAAGCCTCACAGTCCTGTAACGGGAATATACATTGGTAAGAAATTGTAAAGTCATTAATGCATGTGGAATTTTCCAATTGTGACCTAAAAATGTTTACTGTATGTTCAACCTCAGCACCCAGAAACAGTCCGCGTCCAGTGAAGGTTCCCCGATGCCATAGCGATCCTCCAAATCCAAACTTGTTTATCTCTAACGCTGAAGGCTTTAGGTATGTTTTTGACTTTGCCGTCGTTTTTGTGCATTTTTCCTACATTTCCTGCATGCCTTTTCACCTTGCCTCGTCACATTATGCTTTGATAAGTGTTTTTTTCCCTTTATTTTGAGTTGAATGAATGGTGTGCGAGTGTGTATTTACCCAAAAGCACAAAAACCACCTCCCACACAAGCCAAGGTAAAGATCCCTGGTTTGTTTTCTCACTGCACAGCTCCCGAAGCCTTCCTTGTGACCTCCGGACCCAGCTGTTCCCCAATGGCCCCCGACCTGCCACTGTTAGCCCCGGGGATTCTTCCAAAGTTCTCAGCAGCACCCCCACTGACACCAGGTAGCTGTGCCCCAAAATGAACCTGCTGAATCTAAACGGCAAATGTAGCTGAGGGTCATTGACGAGCCCTCTGTGGATTATAAACCACTCAGGATGACGCTGATGATCACTAGACATTCTGAATCTAATGTGTCTTCATAGAAAGGCAAGACCTCCTTTTAGGTGGTATTTTCTAACACCTTAAAAGAAGGTGGCCATGATTGTTGTACATGGTGAGAAAGAAAATGGAAAGCTTTTTTCCTTCAATGGGAGAGTGAGCTGTTATCTTTCTGATTGCCATTAACATCAGTCTTGCTTTGATGTTGGTTATTCACTGCTATTGTGCCATGTGTTTGCAACTTGAGGCTTATCTGTTTCATCTGTGCCTGCTTACTGTAGTGCTGATGGTTTTCACAAGCTGCTGTGAAATAGCTGAATCTTTGCTTTTTTATATAATTGGCAACATTTCTTGCATAATACGCTTTTTTCACTAATAATGGTCAAGTTACTTATGAATTGAATGATATCTGCTTATGTTATTCTTGCAAAAAATGTAATTAATTATATACATTTTGCTTCAGAGTTTCCAGTTTTCATGAAAATGACCGTGTCTCATCAGTCGCTGCAGAATTACAATTTAAATCCATAAGTCGTCATTCGAGCCCAACAGAAGACAGAGAAGGTATGTGCATTATGGTTCTTCTTGGTGTTTTTATCTCTTACTTTAAATGGTTCCAATTCAGAGCCCACGTATCCCAGAGGAGACCCCACTGTTGTTCGTCGCAGCTGGGAGCTGCGCACCTGCATCAAGGGTGAGACTGGTTTAAGCTGAGCTCATCCATTCAACGGTTTTAAAACTAAAGGTTCAAAACATTTTTAGATTCAGCCTCAAGACAATGTCCTATGGAGACTGTTCGACGATCTATTCGCAAATTTGAGGAGAAGCGCTATGCTGTTTTAAAACAACGTAATATCATTGGCCAAGTTTGTCACACTCCAAAGTCATATGACAATGTCATGCATGTAGGACTCAGGAAAGTGACTTTCAAATGGCAAAGAGGCAACAAGATTGGTAAGTGTTGGCGGGTTTGTCTCTGAACTCTGAAAAGCAAAATGTCTTATTTTAATTTTTATCTGTAAAGGTGAGGGGCAGTACGGAAAAGTGTACACCTGCATCAATGTTGACACTGGAGAATTAATGGCCATGAAGGAGGTATGTTTATGAAGAGAAACATGAGTAAAAAGAGATACCTGTCGACTCTCGATGTGTGTAAACTTCTCATCCGTCTCTGATAGATTCGATTTCAGCCAAATGATCACAAAACAATCAAAGAGACAGCTGATGAACTCAAAATATTTGAAGGAATTAAACATCCTAACTTGGTGCGGTACTTTGGAGTGGAGCTTCATCGAGTAAGCTTTGCACAGCATGTCATTTGCAGTTTGTTATTAGTGGTATTACTATCAAGTTTTGCAAACCAGGAGGAGATGTACATCTTCATGGAATACTGTGATGAGGGAACTTTGGAGGAAGTCTCCCGCCTCGGGCTGCAGGAGCATGTGATACGACTGTACAGTAAACAAATCACTACAGCCATCAACGTCCTGCATGAACACGGCATTGTGCACAGAGACATCAAGGGTCAGCAGCCTCTCTAATTCACTTATCTTGACATTCAAGCAAACAAGGTTCTAACAGTTTTGAATTATTTATTTTTAGGAGCAAACATTTTTCTGACATCGTCTGGCCTCATAAAGCTGGGTGACTTTGGATGCTCAGTGAAGTTGAGAAACAATACTCATACAATGCCAGGAGAGGTCAACAGCACGTTAGGCACTGCAGGTATTTGTTACAACCACAAGGTGGCAGTGTTAGTGTGCCTTAAGCTGCAGTAGGTTCTAAAGCTAAGCAGTAGATTTTGAAATTATTTGATGATTTAATTCTTGTGTTAGCATACATGGCGCCCGAGGTCATTACAAGAGCTAAAGGTGAAGGTCATGGACGTGCAGCAGATATTTGGAGCTTGGGCTGTGTACTAATCGAAATGGTGACTGGAAAGGTAACGTAGTACTCTTTTTCATTTGTAAAGTTTAAAACACATTTCTTTCTTCATACATTCAAAAATATATATGCCTAACTTGCAGAGGCCATGGCACGAGTATGAGCACAACTTCCAGATTATGTATAAAGTGGGAATGGGGCACAAACCACCAATCCCCGAGAAACTCAGCACTGAAGGAAAGGATTTCCTTGGCCACTGTTTGGAGAGTGAACCCAAGCGACGCTGGACAGCCAGTATGCTGTTAGACCATCCTTTTGTCAAGGCAAGTACTTTCATGGCGATAGATTGCCTTTTTCTTATGACAAGGAATCTTAAAAACAATGATAGAAATAATCCAAGAACCTGTATTTACAAAGTCCCTTTTTTCCAGGTTTGTACAGATGAGGAGTAAAAGGAAGTTTCTCTGTGGCTTTTCAAGTTTACAAATGAATCACTACTGTACACGCTGTTAGCAAAAGAACATGAACTGTGGAGGATTTATTGCTGAAGGCACATTGAGCTAAACTGAGGAACACAGAATCATTTCAGACGACAACTGGACCCAAGAACACTGGGTTCTGTATTGTTGAACTGTGGATTGTACATACTGTAAAAAATACGAATGGCTTTAATTCTTGTACAAACAAAATTGTAAAGTTAAACTATTACAACAACTGTTCTTTTCACTGGTGGTGAACTGACCTCTAAAAAGGCATTTACTTTCTCTTTTAATGGGGCGTGGGGTGGGTGGACGTAATCAATAGCACTTTTTCAACCGTTTATCCAAGGGAGCAGTTGACTAGAATGGGCGAGTGTAATCCTGTGGTTAAAATGGAAGGAGTTGTCTGTGCTATGAATTGAACTACATTTATGCTTACGGCAAACCTGGGCATGTAGAAGGATTTTATTTCTATTCTTTTTTGCCTTTGTTGAGGAGTTATGTCAAAATGTCCAAGCATTGTACAAATATGAATGAGATATATTTTCATGTGACTGGAGGGTAGAGGATGAAGGAGTAACCGGACCCGCTCCCCCTCCTGCTGCTGGAGACAAACGGCCAAAACTAAGAAACACAAACCACTGGGTCTCTGCTGCTCTGTGTTTGCTATGTATAAAGAATATTAATAAACCAATTGTTTTTAAAAAAGAAAAAAAAAGATGTTGGTCCAAAGGTGAATTAAGTGTTTTCATTTTCAGAGATCTAGTGTAATTTAATTCAATCACAGCCACTAGAGTTGGTCTGTAAGAGTTCAACTGTTCCCAGAGAAGCAGGATTACGCAGGGTCAATCTAACTAGTGTCATTCCTGTCTAATCCAATAGATCCATGGTTTAATCCCAGCTCACGTTCAAAGAAGTTTATTACATCCAAACACTCATCGTATTAATTATTCACACTCTACATGGGTAAGTTACTGCGGTAGCCAACCACTACAGCCCTGGGGCAAGCTGACCAGATGACACATACTGTACCACTAGTTATTCACTCACACAACAAAGTCGTGCAATGTGGGTGAGGTGTCTTGCCCAAGGACACAATAGACAGTCTGGTGCGTTATTGCTTCAGCTATCCCAGTGTTGCACCTGGTGTTCCTAGAGGTCTCCCATCACAGTACTAGCCAGGCCTTGCTCTACAGACAGCTGATGGGATCAGTCTCTCACATAGGAAAATATGCTTTTATAGATTTTTTTAAGAAGTTGCTTATGAAATGTGCTTTTGTGAACATTTTCCCCCAGCAGATAACTGTAGGATAAAAGTAACATTTTGGTGAAGGTTATTTAATCAAATCTGGAATGTGAAAAGAAACAGACCATATCTTGTTAATTAAATTTACAAAAGGATACACAACTGAAATGATAACAAAAAACATGTTATTTTCTTAATAATTTCAAGCTTTTCCAGTTGTACCACTTCTTCCCCCAAGTTAGTGCAATGACAACCAGATTTGTTGTAAATCCAACAAGCATAGTCATAGTGTAGTCCCAAACGCCATTGCTCATCATGAATGCTGCCTTTGTTTCCCTGAGGCATGTCCACACTTGCACCGGGAAGTGGAGAAACGGGCAGGAGGTGGGCAGCTTTGCCGGCCATTAGTTATTGTTGATAGAAACCTTTGCATTTCCATAACTGGAGCCTCGGTTAATCTCAGTCTGACCAATCATCCAGCGAGCAACCAGTGATACTAGAAAAGAGACAAAAATAATGGGAAACTCTTCATCTTTTTTTGTATAGTATGATTTTCCATTAATAGTCATGACCAACCTGCGATGCACAAGGCCACTGTAGTCAAAATAGTCAGCACAGAGCCGGAGTGGGCCAGTTGTGCGAAAACTCGGAACAGTGGGAAGAGGAGCAGGCAGAACCAGAAGATCCAAATGATCAAAGACCACGGTCGACGAGGAGGGCTCTTTATGGGCCCAGGGAACTTTCCTGTCTGGGCGTAGTGCTCTTGAAAGCTGTCCTGTCAAATCAACAACAAAAGTTCAACAATAATATCAGAAGAGGATAATCTTTACTACACCACGCCTTACTTTTTCCTGGTAGAGTTTGTGGAGCCATGAGGCACACTCTGCCTCACCTTCTGGGATTGTGTCCAAAGGAATTCTTCTGCAAGATTAATAAAGATAACAATAAAATGACTAAGTTATTATTTTATAAGTTATATCAAGACAAGTCACACAGGGCCCATTGAATTGTTCTCTTTCTAAGCAAAGGCATTCCACAAATGATCCAACTCATAAATAGAACTAAAACATGTGCTGTATAAACACAAAGCTTACTTTACCTGACGTATAAATCGGCATGATATTTCTTCCCGTTCAAGAGTCCGAGTAAAGATGGGGCTTCATTATTTCTGAAATTTAGTGTTGAATCATACACAGCAGCCGCTAAAAACCCCCACAAAAAGCCAACATTGGATGCATATAAATATAATTCACATTTTTCATCAAGACATTAATGTATTATTACTCACCATTTCCTCTGAGGTTCTGTACCGTGACCCAGAATCCTTTGGTGCGGGGTAAAAGATGATACTTGAGTTTAGGGAGGCCTTTGCTCTCAGCCACCTGCATTGAGAGCTTGTGCTTTTTCAGCGTAAACCGTGTGCCTTCACAAAAAAGCAAAAACTGCAGAAAGCAAGACAACATGTACAAGATTAATAACAATGCATCATGTTTTGGACCCTCAAAGATGCTTCACATGGGATCACGCATTCACTTCATCACAATGGTTATAAATTACTACTGTAGTTTATAACAAGCAAGGCAACCAGTCCATGCCATCAGCCCCTCCAACCCCCACCAACATTTCAAGATAAGATAAACTTTATTCTAAGTTTATGTTGTGTACTGAGGCAAGTGTCTAACCAGAGCATAAACCAGACCCTGCCCTGCTTAGCTTCAGAGGTCTGACCGGATCTGGCGCCAAGCATTCATTCAAAGCATTGAACTACTTGAGTATCCATTCTTAGGAGCAGGGGAAATATTTTCTTTGGGGGGGATATAGCTCTACTGTAGAGGTTATTTCAGTTTTATTTTTTTATTTAAAAGTTACTTCAGTATTAAAATAAACATATACATCCATACACTGGGCTTTCTATTACTGCTATTTCTATTAGTAATAACATGTTAGATTAATTAATAAGAATAACATACATGTATTGCTATGGTAGCACATACAAGCCTTTCATTGAGTATTGAGTATTGTCTGCTTTTGAGATTAGAGTCAAACAAAACCATACAATTTTACATAGTGTGCCATTTAAAAAAATATGTATTTACTCACTTCAATATACAGAAGCACACCTTCAAAATGAATGTATACAAACCCAAAAGTTTTCAGGATAATCATGAAGGTTTTGGAGACTCTCTGCTACAGTTTGTCGATCTTCTTCCCATTTTCTCTTGCAAAAAACTATCTCCAGGAAATACCACATCCACCCGATGACTGGCACATAAGCCAACTCCTTTTTGGCAAGCACTTTTGAACTCTGAAAAAACATGAATGAAAAGATACAAATAACTTTATCTATCTATAACATAATAAATACTCTCTATCTTACCCCTAGAACCCCGAAGCGGTCACAGAAGGTCCAACCACACAGGAAGTCAATCTCAAAGTTGTGGTTAAGTACGACTATGGCATTTTCGTTTCCGTAAAGTGGGTAACTCTCAGGGTCTGTGTAAAGTGTGCACTCTGTGGCAGACCACCACTCCAGCACGGCAACAATTTCTGAGAGAAGAGATGTAGTGTATCAGGCAAAGACCTATTCTACAACAGTTGGTAAAAGCATTGAACTTACGACTCATAATACAGTAGCCCAGTCTGACGTTGACTTTTCGGGCAAGTTTTTTGTTGACCAGCCACAGAGGTAAAGTGCATATCTGTAGTAGGTTCACTATGATTCCACTGGCCATGAAGACATAGACCATCAACAGGTGAAGGACAAACTGGGATTTGAGCAGCTGCAATATTCCCATCTGTAAAAAGTAACAAACAAAAAACTTAAGATGCTTAAAAGGTCAACTACGAGCTTCTCATCACAGGCCAAAATGCAAATGCATTACCTTCTCCTGGAGAATCTAAATGTTACAGTTTTTCCTTTCAATTGACATGGCATTTAACTTCCACAGGATGTCCATCCATTCATTTTCATCTGGATGTACTGTTCCAAATGTATTTTGGCCAAAAATAAAGCGACCCGAAACAAAATTAAGCATACAGTGCACTGTTTGGCCCATATTCGGCCCATATTCTGTAGAATGGTGTTCTCAAGTGGCTCCTCTATACCTGTAGGAGCAGTGGCTCTACTATGAGCTCCTTCTGTCTCTCGGGAGTATCAATCCACTCTGTTCAGGAAACTCGCTTTTGAATATCTTGTATCCACACGGTTGATCTTTCGGAGCCCAATGAGCACAGATGATCAAGGATAAGTAACAGATTATATCTGTGAAGAGTCGAGTCTGCTTACCATTTAATAATGTTTCATTTAACACTGAGGTATATTTCAGTCACCCTTTCCCTGGCAACAAGTAGGTGCTTAAACTGTTTTGGTTAAATAAAGGTAAATCAAAAACAAAAAGATACATTTTATCTACAGCCACAAAGGATGAACAATTGACTCATTTCAAAACATAAAATAAGGCAATGTTGACTTTAACTCAGCATTTATTTAAGTAAACTGGTAATCAATTGACAATAGGTTTTTGTCCACTGTGAAGACTCAGCATTAATTTGTGAGTGCATACATACACAAATACCCACAAACTTACACGTTCACATGCATACTAACATACACGTTCACATTCATATACACACTCATATACACAGACTCACATACACATACACATATAGACACACACACACACACACACGCAAACACCCACACACACACACACACACACACACACACACACAGTAGCACAAATAGGACCAGGAAGTGCAAGAAACTCACCTTTGAATTGAACTTTCAGACAGTCTTGTGGACATGACAATAGCAACTTGCAGAGACGGAATGAGACACAGCGCTCGTCAGCACTTCTTCATGGTCATTGGAGCAAATGGTACTTCATCCACATTTTTTAAGGAAGTTTGACAGTTTCAAACTTGTGCACAACTGGATTTCACGACCACACCTATCTGCAGCCTGGAGGATGGAGCCGCTTCCTTCGCGAAAAGTAGACCGCTCATCCCTGGAGGAGCGCACTATCATTTCATGGACATCTTCCTCTTTGTTCAATCTTCCAGAAGTGTCAAACATCGTTCAGACAAACTTATACGTATTTTACAAAAGGCAAGGTACTGTGGCATTTCCAATTTATATTTATTCTCCTTTGCCCAGTTCCTTGCGGAGTGAGACCTCTGTCATGTAATTTTAATCTTTGTCATCTCCATATTTGGACGAGGCTATGGGTGTTTCCCAATAGATCCATGGTGTTTCCACTACAGCAGAACTAGTGCAAAATTGCTTACATAGACCTAACATTGACAATTGCAACAACATAAAAACATTACAAAATTAGATTAAAGTAGTTAGCCACCCCAAGTGTTCATCAAAAGAAAGGAAAAGAAAGTGAACATCGCACCACAAGATGGAGACAAAGTTCCGTTTCTGTTTTATGATGTGTTACAGCCATCCATCCATTTTCTTCCCCTTAATCCATTTCTGGGTCGGGGGGGTGGCCAGAGATGCCACCCAGTTCACAGAGCACCAGCCCCTCACTGATCCTCCTGCAGGTGGTGAGTCCACAGGAGCTGAGATCTTTCAGTGGGAGCTTCAGGCAAAGTGGGGTTAAGTGTCTTGCCCAAGGACACAACGACAGCAGTCATCAGTGCGAGTTGTGAAGTAGGTCTTATGGTGGGCTTGAACCCACGACCTTCAAGCTCAAAGGCCAATGCTCTACCAACTGAGCTACTGTCGCCCCCACTGGGTGTTACAGTCAGTGTTGGGTAAATGAAGTAAAGTAAAGTAACCCCATCACTAAATCAATGATTGGTGTCCAAAGTCAGCACAGAATATTTTATATTCCTCAAATGATTTAATTAAACTGCTATATACAGAAGGAGGTCTATCCAAATTACTTGTATCTATAATAATCAGAATCAGAATCAGAATCATTTTTATTGCCACGTAAGTAACAGGAGGTCACAGACTAGGAAATTGCTTTGGCTCAGTGCAACAGTCAAAAAGAGATAATACAAATAAGAATAAAAAACACTTCTAAAGAATACATTTAAATTTAAAATAGAGTTACAGTTACTATTTACAATATACAAGTGCACATGGTGCACACAATGTAAGGTGACAGCAGTACAGTGAAGTAAAGTGACGTATGATGGGCAGTAAAGTGACTTTATAAAGGGCGGGGGGACAGGTTAAGAAGTGTTCAAGAGTCCAACAGCAGAGGGGAAGAAACTGTTCTTGTGGCGGGAGGTTCTAGTCCTCACTCCTGATGGACCGCAGTCTCCTGCCTGAGGGGAGTGGTTGGAATAGTCCATGTGCAGGGTGAGAGGGGTCGGCTGTGATACGACCAGCCCGGCCAAAGAGCCATGTCGACCGTACGAGGCGCCATCTTAAATGTAGTTTTTCACAATAATAATAATACAATAATACTACTAATGAAAAATGTTATAATAATAATACATATTAATTTAACCATTGATGTGATTACTATGAAGAAAACATCAACACTAAACCTATTCAACCATTTCCAAACTATATGTTAAAACTATGTCACACGTTCCTGATGTTATAAAGTTTAACTGTTTTGAATTTCACCAAAATAATAGTGTCTTAATGACATATGCTTTGGCGTTAGTTGCCTTGAAACCCCAGGCCCTAAGTGCTTCCCCCCTAAAGTAAAGCCCTTTACATTTGAATGACACGTGAGTGGAAAGAGTGGTTGATACGAGCTCTGTGGATGTAAAGATTTTGGTGGGGCACCTCACCACAAGGACTTTCCATGTTCCAACACACGTCAGCTTTCATTATAGGAGCTTAGTTTTCCTGTAAGGGTCAGCCTCCGGGGGGCCTTCTCCTTACATCTGGCAATTAGGTACTGTTTAAGGCCATAAAGTGTTACCAGTAATGGATCAGATGTCATCAGACCAGGCTAAGAGTGGACCAGTGATCTTCCTGCTCAAGGGCAAATGCTCCAGCCATTCAACAACACAATCTTTGTCTAAAACCAAGTGTATGTATTTGCACGTTTGTCTCTTTTAGTTTTGATCCATTTGGTCTAATTTGGATACACTGATCATGCATCAATATTCATTTTCAGATCACTTGTTGACAAATTCCAGATGGACCAATAACCAGGAGCCAAACTATACCGGAACAGGACTATAATACATTTGTGGGGATACTGGACACCACCAAATAAAGTAAAATTATTTTGCATTGTTTTACCAAAGTCAATTCACTTCTATCAAATAAATTCAACGTTAAGAGGACTGCAGCACTTACTTCCATTCCCAATATTCAGTCTATATCTCGACTATTGTATATATTTGATGCTATTTGGAATACAGTTACAGTTGCAAATAGCGATCCAGTTAATTTAGCTTTTAAAGGGCAAAAAAAAACCAAAAAAACATTACATTATTGCCATCCATCCATCAATTTTCTTCCCCTTCATCCATTTCTGGGTCGGGAGGGTGGCCGTCAGAGCTGCACCTATTTCACAGAGCACCAGGCCCAAACAATATTGCGTTTTACCTTAAAATACAGTTGAAAAAAATACCTCACAACCTCTGTCCAATGTTATATAAGAACAGCAGCTACTGTCACATCACAGAGGAAGAATTGACTTACATTTGCGCACAAGTTTTGGCTGAAGTTTCTTGCTTACAGCTGCTGCACGCTCCACAAATCAGGCATTGAATCAGATTAAATTGACTTTAATGAGCGCATATCGCAATCTCATATCATTGGATCATGAGAGACATATGTGCTCACTGTTTCTAAAGCAGGGGGGTAGTGGAAGAAGTGCAAATCAGAAAAAGTGACAGCATAACCACAGGGACTATATTTTATTTGACACCATGTATATTCTGTTAGCCGATAATAAGGTCCTGATGTGGTATCTTTCTCCATTGGATCATTATTCAGAAGTACTTTTCAAATAGGGGACACCTGCACTTGTTCTCACGGGGGCTCTTTAGGGGCGTTCAAGACAACGACCAAAGAAGTGGAAGGTCAGACAAGTGGAATACTCTTCAATCAAGTTATGTAATTGTACGACCCAGCAACCTTTTATGACAGACAGTGGGGGAGTTTCACAGTTCACGTTTGAGCGCATGCTACAGTCGTCAGCCCTTACGTAGGATGAATTATTTTGTGATAGATTCATGAACTGTATGTTTTTGTAATCCTGCATGATTCATCTTGGAAACATAATAAATCAATTGTGAATGGCGTATTTATCCATTAGCAAAAAATGATAGAAACAGTCAATTTGAGAGAAAATATATACTTTTTTTTCTTGGATGCCATCTGAACAACAAATCCTCTTCATTTACTGAGAGGACTCCCTTAACGTTGTTTACTCTTGGAATACCCTCCATGCAGGATCCAGTCAAGTTTAATAAATTGTAAAGTTACCAATAGATTTTGTCTGCACAAATCAGATACCATTCTGTCTTTATCTGATTAGAAAACATGTTATCCTACGCTACTTGTAAGAAAAATATCTGTGAGACACTATTCGACACCTTGAGCAGAGAGCTGGTGGTCCTCTCTCATACACAGGCAAGTGAAACCAAGTTGTTTTGAGAGGGAGGAACTATAACTATATATATAGATTTTATTACCCAGTGGAAATGTTTGTGCTTTGATAACACAAGTTGACAGCCAAAAAATGGTCAGGGGTTTCTCAACTGATTTGGACTAATTTTGGTGTTCTGAGTCCGAATATCACATGCATTTTGCTCTATCTGGTCAACTTTTTGAGATACAGCCATAGTGTTACGGATTACGTACGTCTACGTTACTATGAATTCTACTTATCAAATTTGATGGCTGAATGACTTTAGATACGTTGACTTTTATTTCTTGAGGAAAACGGAAAAAACATTGAAGGGTTTCTCAGCTGATGATCCACAGAAATTTGTTTTTTACGCAAAATCGATTTAAAACAATATTTCTCTAGCAAAAAATCCTGACCTGATTGAGCAAAACCAAGGTCATTTTCGGACTCAGAGCATCAAAATTAGTTCAGCTGAAAAACCCTGAACTATTTTCAAAAAAATATTTTTTTGTGTAATTAGGTGCCTCTGCTTTTAGGTGTTCATGTATCTGTTCTTAATAATAATAATAATAAATCAGAATACAGCATTGAATTTTCTCATATACAGTAAAGCACACTGGGTTGACAAAGGTTAATTCCAAGTCAAGTTGAATTATATATACATTTTACAGATGCCACTTATATTATTCCCCAAAAAGATCAAACTGATTTGAATTGTAACTTTTCATTTTTCATTTCAACAGAAGGTTCTCCGCACGTTGACAGTAGCAGTGGCCCCAAAGTCAAAGCAGCGTACATGGACAGTGTAATAAAAGCACTAACATTTGACAATTTTTACATTTTGTACACAGACTTAATGTTGTATATCTTAAATCTAAATCTTATCATAATTAACAAACCTCGCAACATCATTATAGACAAAACAGCTATACACATTTTCCGCCAACTCTGTGATTGGAAAACAACCATAAACGAAGAGAGAGGGGTATCTTTAAACAGCTCAGCATGTGTTTCTTCATCATGATGTTCCATTACAGCAGAGCACAACATGTCTGAAAAACTCATCAGAGCTGTAATGGATATGAGCTGATCACTTGTTTCCACTGGTTAAAGACGGAGGGCTCCCTGAAGATTGCAGTCGCTCTCATCTTAGCCCCATGTAGATGTTCAAATCGTTTCCTTTTCAGAGCCTATTGGATCAAAACATTTCCTTGTCACTGTTGGTTAAGGCATTGTTAAAAAACAGTTGTTATATACGTACTCATTTTAGTCTTTCTTGGTCTGTATGTAAGCTTATTAGTTTAATCATTCATTACAGCATACAGATTGAACATGAAACTATAGTGTATAATTTTATATATAACTACAAATACCATAGATAGAAAGATAAAGGTTTACCCTTTTTAGACGATTGGTGCTGTGTGACAAATACTCAAATACTGTATCCGGATTACATCTGAAGTAAAGAAATTCATCAAGGCATGAAACTTTATTCTGTCAATAAAAAGCACAAATCCATAAACATGTACATGTACAAGTATCTATAAGTGACTATATAAAATAATGCACTACTTTCACTTTATGATCCTGGGTTTGTTTTCACCTCCAGGACTTTCTGTGTTGAGTTTGTATGTTCTCACTGCGTTCTCATAGTTTATAAATAAGGATACTTTCTTACTAAAAGGGTCTACTTTAAATCACTGTGACGGGTCATTTTGACCCAAGGGTCGGTGTTAAAACCTCAGGCGTTTTTCAGCAGGAGGAGCAGTGATGTATTCTGCTGTCTCTAATGTACATTTTAGAGGTCGAAATAAAGCAATGTTGTTTTTTACAGCTATTTAAGTACTTCATGTTATGACAAAAGTAATGTAACAAACAACAGACGGTAACTAAATGTGTAATTCATCACATGTTTTAAAGGAGGTGCAACAAGTTATTATTCATGGTGGATTGTGCCAGTGAAAATGGCAGAATTCACACGTGCCTTGAACTGTCTGTGTTGGTTCACAAATGCACTCAGTGAACAAACTGCTGACGAGATGAAGTGTCTCTATTCAGTCCCACAAATGTTTGGCTGTGCAGACGTCTTTTACACTTGGGTTGAGAGTTGGCAAACATGCAGCTGCTCATTAACATAGTAGTGCAGCTCAGTGTTATTACAGGTGTCTTGAGCTGTTTGAAAGTGTTTCTGTGGATCCTTTCTGTCGCTGCTCAGGTCGTCCCTCAGACGTGTGGAACAAATGACTCATACCTTTAGCTGCATTCGTTTTGCTTCTCATCCCGCACAAAAGTGTGTGTCACATATTTGCGCTCTGCACATGAGGTCATCCCCTTCCTGATTTGATTTGACACGCAAAAAGTTTCATTTTCACTTTGTTTGTCAGAGTGCAGCAAGTGCACTTTGTGTCATGCTCATGTCGGGCTTCCAAAGTATCAGCCACCTGCTATTTTCTGTTGAGATGATATTGCTCCAAAGTGAACTTGTTTATCTGCATGAATGCACTCTGGTGTCACAATCCGGCTGAGGAGGTTCTACTCACAGACTTTAAGATGTGTTTGAGGTTCAACAAAAGGTTGAACTCTACTTGTATCCAAGTGTTGTTTTCAATAAAATCATACAATGCACTAGCTACAACATGTAGCTGTTGCTATAAACAGCTGTAATCAAATTGAAAGACCCCACTCACGTGGCAGTGACAGAACAGGGGCATAAAAGAGTTTCACAAACTGAGTGAGGAGGACGGGCAGCATGAGCCTCCACAACATTCCTCAGTCCCCTTTGTTTTTGTTTTTTTCTGCTTCTAAGTCGACATATGTGATGGAGATGCTCTTGAATGATACCTCTGCATCCAAACAAATTGACTAATTGACTAATCCACTTTTCAATCATGTGAACTCAAACAAACTGCCTTCAAACTATCTGAATCCTGTCCCAAAGTAAGTTAGAAAACCCCTTTTTATTATTCTTAATCCATCTTATATTGTTTGATCCAAAGCTAGAGCAACTCAGTGGTCGCTACAGCTGAGCATCTTCTAGATGTTGATGCTCTTGGTCAGGACTACCGGAGCTGTACCTACGGTTATTTTTTTAGTTGGAAGGGGAAACCGGAGCATCTTGAGGAAACCCACCCAGACTTCAATACATAAAGGCACCATGTGCTTTGCTGGAAAATCTTTTGGCTTTAATGTTCAGAAAAATAAGTAATAAGAATATAAACATTTTACCACCAATGGCTGCAAGTTTATTATAATTCACACACATATAGGGTTTGGCGATGGTCTCGCCGGCCACACTTGGGCCGCGGGCCACATGTTTGAGAAGCCTGAACAGAGACTTCTGGGCACAAGTGAAATCTGGGTCAATACGAGTGGTGAGGGTGCTGTGTTTTTGGAGTGGCACCCTCTCAGCTGGCACCAACATGGACCGAGGATATTTTCCCAATGACCGCATCAACATTTGCCCAGAAATAAATGACTAACTTTATTTCTCATGACAGATCCCCTCCCTGCAAACACTGCGGTGGATATGTGGCGAATGTATATGGCATTGAGATTTTATTAAATATACCCTTCAAATATTGTTCTGCGAGATCTTTTTCAGCTTTGGCAGTTTTGAAATTTTCTTAAACTTTTTTTACTACAATTGTTGCTGTACTGGATTTAGTTGTAGCCATAGTCATAGTCATGGTTCAAAAATACTGAACCATGGCAAAGAAGCTGGCAG